CCTATAGATTTAACAATTTTGGAATTGCCCATGACGAAAAGTCTGCAATCCATGTACACATCGACCTATTTTCACTTTAAAAAAAAAAAATCACAAAATGGCACTGCGCACACCCTTGACTTTATCTATGTACACATCGGCCTATTTTCACTTAAAAAGTAAAAGAAATTGATAAAAATTCAATTGTTTTTAACCTTGTAAAAATTGCCAAACAAATAAGTGGGCGATTCTGCACTTTACCAAGAATTTTTTCAAAGAAAAGGCATCATTCATTATAGAAAATTATGTTTGAACAACCAACAAGATGAAATTATGCTTTAGCGATAACTCGGTAGCGAAATAGCGATGCAGGAATCCGTTCAGTTATGTTTGCTTTTTTTATATAAATTATAAAAATATCTGAAATAGTTTATTTACTCTTATGCTTCCATTCAGTCAGTTTAGCCTTTTTCATATAAATTATAATAATAAAAAAAGTATATATGAAATTAACCTTTTATCTAAATTAAAACAATAATCTTTAAATAGTTATTTACTATTATACTTCCTTTCTTGCGTTAGGGTTGCCGCAATTATTTTTGGCAGCACTGGCATCAACGATAGTTTGGCGATTTTTTACAGTCCTCAAAACGGAATAGTACCAAAATAACAATTCTCGTCCTGAAAACTCAAAATCCGAAAATCGCGTGACCAAACATGTCGGAAAATCGGACCGGCATTGCATGAGCGCAGACATTTCCGTTAAAGAAAGCTATAAATCCAGATGTCAAAAGTCATGTGTCAAAAACGATGCTTATAAAAAGGGTTTAATAATTAATCACGATGTTGCTCAGATCAAAATATAAATAAAAAGATTTTGTATGTCGATTCCCGCGCGAGCAGTCATCTAATAGGAGATAAAAGTTTGTTTACAGAACTGATATATGAGGATTCACAAGCAAAAATAATTTTAGCGGATGGAAAAATTTTATATTCGCAGGGCAGAGGATTTGTTGACCTTGATTTAGAAGATGAATATGGATTACAGAAAATTCGGTTGACTGACGTTTATTACGTTCCCGATTTAAAGAGCAACTTAATTTCTGTTAAGCAAATTGCTAATAAGGGATATTCTGTTACTTTCGAAAAAGAAAAGTGTTACGTAAAGAAGGATAGCCAAATAATTATGCGTGCGTATTCTGATGATAATAGTTTATATAAGATTTTAATAAAAAATTCAGAAAGCGCTAATTTTGCAGTTGAATGTAAAAATAAAAACTGCATACAAATATGGCATTCTAGGTTAGGTCATCGAAGTTATGATGCAATCAGACAATTAGTAAGAGAAAATCTTGCAGAAAGAATAAAATTAGATAATTGCAATCATAATGAAAACTGTTCAGAATGCATAAAGAATAAAATGCAGCAAATTCCTTATCCAAAAGCTGCTAGCGTTCGAGCAAGAAAACCACTGGAACTTATACACAGTGACATTTGCGGGCCTATGCCTACTCCAAGTATTGGTGGAAAACTTTATTTCGTAACATTTATTAATGACTTTATTAGATAGACTGTCATCTATTTACTCAATAAAAAGAGTGAAGTTCTTAGTAAATTAAAGGACTTTGTCGGTATAACAAGAAATAAATTTAGGAGAACCATACAGACTCTTCGAACCGATAACAATGGTGAATATACCAGCAAGGAAATGGAGGAATTTCTATCGGATAACGGCATCAAGCATCAACTAACTGTTCCCTTTTCGCCTCCTCAGAACGGTGTGAGCGAAAGAAAAAATAGAAGTCTTACTGAGATGACCAAGTGCCTGCTGTCCCAAGGCCGACATTCAGACAATTTTTGGGGTGAAGCTGTCAACACAGCAAATTACATCCAGAATCGCCTTCCAACCAGAGCTTGTGATAAGACTCCCTATGAATTATGGAGTGGAAGAAAACCTAATTTAGCTCATATGAAACAATTTGGTTGCATAGCCTATGCATATGTACATAAGGAAAACCGCAGAAAATTAGACCAAAAAGCAATTGAAGGAATTTTTGTCGGTTATGATCAACGATCAAAGGGGTACAGAATCTACACAGGTGAAAACTGTATAATTATAAGTAGAAGTGTAAAGTTTGTGGAAGAATTATCAGCGAATGAAAATGTTGAAATTTCTCTTCATCCAAAGGTTGAAGATGTTGAAAATGATGAAGAAACTGAAGAAAAACACAAAATTGTATCCAAAGAAGAGCCAAGACGATCAGAAAGAAAAACGAAGGGAATACCACCAGAACGTCTAGGATTTCTAACGAACACAATCAAAACCATACCTGAGAATTTTAAAGACTTAGATAAATTGAATTCTGAAGAAAAGGAAAAGTGGTTACTCGCAGTTGACGAAGAAATCAATTCCTTATCCCGAAATAAAACTTGGGAACTGGTTGATCTTCCTTTAGGAAAGAAACCTATTGGCTGTTGATGAATTTTCAATCTGAAAGAAAACGAAGATGGAACGATCATTCGTTACAAGGCGCGACTAGTTGCTAAAGGTTATAGTAAAAAATTTGGAACTGATTACGATCATACCTTTGCACCAGTAGTTCGACAGACAACTATCAGAACTTTTCTAGCTGTCGCAGCATATGGTAAAATGCATGTGAGGCATGTAGACGTTACTACAGCATTTCTGCACGGAAATTTAGAAGAAGAAATATACATGGAACAGCCAGAAGGCACTGTTCAACCCAGACAAGAAGAGAAAGTTTGTAGATTGAAAAAAAAAAAAGCTATTTATGGATTAAAGCAAGCTGCTAGAGCATGGAATAAAAAAGTTGAAGAAGTATTAAAGAATAGTAACTTCTCGCAAAGTACAGCAGACCCATGCTTATTTCTAAAGAAAGATGGAAATGACACGATAATGATTATTGTCTACGTCGACGATATTCTTATAGCATGCAAAAGCGAAGAAAAAATCAAAAGACTAATCAAATCTCTCAATGAATTCTTCAAAGCAAAAGATTTAGGAGAAATCAGAAACTAGTTAGGAATCAACATCAAAAGAGATGAAAACAAGTTTCTATTGAGTCAAAAATCAAAAATAGAAAAATTGAAGAAGATGTTTTGTCCAGATATCCACAAACCATCTTATACACCAATGGATACTTCTTATTCAAAGGAAGAGGACATCTCTCCACCAGTGGACAATACCAAGTACAGGCAAGCCATTGGAGCCTTATTATATATAGCCACTGTAACCAGACCGGACATTACTCTTGCAGTGAATATATTAAGCAGGAAAAATGAATCTCCAAGTGAGAAGGACTGGAAAGCAGTTCTAAGGGTGAGCAGTTCTAAGGGTGATTGAATACCTCAACTCTACGAAGGACATTTGCCTGAAAATTGACTCACCAACACTTTCCTGTTATACGGATGCTGACTATGCATCTGATTTAACCACTCGACGATCAACAGGTGACGATTAACCAGACGGTCAACAGGTGGAAATTTATTTTTCTTAGGAAATAGCCCAATATTTTGGTCCACAAAGAGACAAAATTGTGTTTCCCTATCATCTATCGAATCCGAGCTTATTTCTGCAGCCACTGCTGCTCAAGAGCTCAAATGGATATTAGACCTCTTTAAAGATTTTGGAATAACTCAAAAACTACCCATTAAGATATTTGAGGACAATAAGTCCACAATAGCTCTTATAAAACGGGGGGAAATGAATACTAAGTTAAAGCATATTAATGTTAAATATATCTTTTTAAGGGAAATGGAAGAAAATAAAATAATCGAGATAACTTACTGCAATACGGATTCTATGATTGCAGATATTTTTACTAAGCCATTGCCCAAACCAAAATTTCTGAAATTAAGAAGTGAGCTAAATCTGATTTCCAATGTTACCCAAATGCATGATTAAAGGGGGGATTGTTGTAAATTAATCAAGCATTTGAGAATAAATAAATAAAATTTTTCTAACTCATTTCTGGCAACCCTAAAAATGCCAAGACATACGGGCATCAAATACGTCAACTATGTTAAACACGTGATATTAATATATCCCATGATCCTCTTGTTCTTTAGATCTTATTAAGCTTCTATATGTGTTTGTGTTAACATTAATGTATCTACTGCTTATATTATTTTAGTTGTAGTTCAATAAATATGTTATTTGTGTTTAAATCTGCATCGTATTATTTGTGGATAAATCCCTCTCATCATAATCATCAATAGTTCGGAGACTCAACTGCTGCTACTGAGTGCACAAAAGGTAAGCTGATTTTGCTATCTTTATTCTTCATATTTTATATGAAGGTTCATTCAGAGCTGGAGTGGTAAGAGCAGTGAACATTGATAGTTCAGACTCAGGCTCATGTACTGGTTAACAGGTTGGCTACATAGGAATTTTTATGCTTTTTTACATATCCAACTTGAATACAAGCCAGTGTCCCTAAGAAAGTCATTCACAAAGGCATTCCCTCTTTCAGGCAGAGAGCACTTAATGTTATTATCTATTCCACTGAATTCTAAAAATCTAATAATTTTCATTTATGCAAATATTTAATAACAAATATTACTTAATACTAGTATGTTTTTAATTCTGTCTTTCACTTGTTTATATAACTTTTTTTAAATTAAATCGCAATTCTTACTTGGCTAAAAAAATCATCATATTAGATTTTTTCTCAATACCCAAAGCATAGCAAACAGAGTAAATTGAAGACCTATGAATTCATTATTGATAGCTAAGAAGAAAAACATGACTAGCAACATGACTATTTTTTATAGACAAAAAATTTTAACATGTCATTAATTAATTGGAAAAGAAGTAGCTACTGACAGCATATTTCCCAGAGAAAACTACTATAAAATTCAAGTTTTTAAAGGTAGAGAAAGAATGAGACTTACATCCAATAACATGAGCATTAAATAACTAGTCTATAATTATATAATAAATCAATAAAATTAAAATTTACAATAATCAGTCATTAAAGTAAATAATTATTTAAAATTACCAATATTCCAGACTTCAAAAGTATTATCTGCTGGTACCACTGTATGATAAGGTGAACCACCAGGCTTCAAAAGAAAAAAAAATTAAGTTATAAATAGTCAGATGAGAACTGCAAAACATCTAAATATACAATGCAAATAAATATAGCTAACGGAAAATTAAATTGCATAATTATATGATAATTCAGTACCTTAAAGCTACATAATATAAAATCTAGTAATAAAAATTTATGTGCAACTGAATGTATTGATTGTAATATAAAATCAAAAACACTTTTTGATAATAATATGCAATATTAAAAAATTTTTTAAAAATATAAAATCAAAAACACTTTTTGATAATAATATACAATATTAAAAAAATTTAGAAGATGCATTAAAACATGTTTAAAATATTTCATTATAAAATTACACAACAAAAACATTAGAATTATGTACATATTTCTATCTATATATTTTGCATTATGTGAAATCTATGACAATTATGGCTCAAAAATTATATAATTCAAATTTTCTTTTTTTTTAATTCAGTTATTTTGTAATGAAAAAAATTAAAAAAAAGAAAGCAGGTAAAAATCCTTATTGCAATAATAAAAAACACAAACATACAGAAACCACCTATCTTGAATCAAATAATTTATTTTAATTATCCATAAACACATAAAAGTTTCCAACAGTAAAGTTCATGTTTTAGATTAATCAGAATTATGGATCTTATCAAGATGTTCCCTCCTCCATATGGTATTTAGGCACAGGAAAAAAAACCCTAAAAATAGTTTGTTCAATGGTGAAAACTTTATCTCAGTTTAAATTTTTTTTTTAAGTAACAACATGTTCATCAACAAAGGAATATGTTCAACAGTTGAGCTTGGCTTACTGTGGGTAAATAAAAAATTAACAAACATTTCTAGGTTCTCAGCATTTACTCTTGCTAACTCACAGTTGTATATAAATATTGGAAAAAACATTTGCAGATTTTGAGAGATTAATCATTTTATGAATCCAATGAAAAGAACTACATATTTTTAAAGCACTTATTTAATAATGCTGCAGCTAAAATTTTGGTAACATTTTAAAATTGTATATGAAACGCACAAAAACATATGCATTTACAGAAAGAATCATGTTTTTAGAAAATTCTAATAAAAATAACAATCTTAACAGCTGCTGCTGCTAAAGACTTACGATTATAAATAATAAAGATTATAATAAACAAATAATATTGATTTACTAGTAAATGAATATCACTATTACTGTAAAATAATAATATTATTAATTATTATAATTTATTTACATTAATTATTTATATTATAATATTTTACAAATGCACAATATTTATAGATGGGTGATAGTGTGGAAATATTGTCTGCTTAGGAAATAGCTGAGAAATTTTATGCACATTATTATGACAAAAAGCAAATATGATTATATAAATATAAACATTTAGGGGGGAAGAGATAAATTTCAATTTCAATGAGTAATTAAATAACTAATTAAAAAAATTAAACAATTTTGAGAATTTAATTCACATATGATTTATGTTCACTTATACAAAAACTGGAAAAATAACCATAATCACTAACAAGATTAAAAAAAAGAAAACTCAAGTAAATTTATTTTATAAAATTGATTCTGATGTTAAGGATTCCACTTTTAATGCTCTACTTGGAATATAAAAAAAAACTCATGCAACATTTGCATTTACAGTAGAATGAATTACAGTTCCATAACAGATGCAAAACAGTCAAGAATACAATAAATCTTAAGCTTCTAACAATATATTTAATATGGTGTGCAAGTTCCAATACTGAGACTGCTGGCAAACACTTTGCCACTTACGTTTTAAAACATACACAATTTCTCATTAGTACAGATATAAATTTTGAAATAATTTACAGGAAGTAGTTGAATGTTATTATGGCAGACTAAACAGGAAGCTTAATCCAGATTGAAAACCCTAGTGCTTTTCTCAAGAGTAAATTAATACAAATGATAAAATAATAATATCACTTTGCAATAGCAACAAAAGTTTTTTCTTTTATAAACAGCATGAACTAGTGTAATCAAGATACAGTATCTAATAGAGAATGTTATTTTAAACTAAAAATTAACAATGTATGAGATTTTTTTAGGTGAAATCACATTCTGAAATATTAGTTCATTAAATACACTGATGAATCTGTGATATAAAATGTTTAATACATAAGTATGATAGTTACATACATGTATAAGGGTAAACTAAAAAATCATAAGCCATTAAATGTTTATTGTTAATCACTAATTACATACTATGACATTTAAACACATGCATTTTATTTTAAGTTGAAAACTCCATACATCATTGAACATTCTGATCACTGATTTCTATACTAGAAATGTTATTCCAGACATAACTTTAAAAGCACTTTATCATTCTGCTGTTATCAAAAGTAAATCAAGTGTTAGACAAGCAAATTATAAAGCATTACAAAATCAATATGGATAAAGGTTAATGATGCTGGGAACATGAGTACTTTAACAAGTGAAATTTCTACATTAATTATTTACTTAACACTTTTTGGAAATTTAAAAAAAAAACTTTTTATGTTATTTTGCCATATTTAATATGTTTAATGAAAATTCATATTTCTTAAAATTTAACAAATATATGGAACCAATTTGAAATTTAAAATGTAGCTTATGCATATAGCTATGAAGCATTTTAAAAATTCATACCAATAACAAATGAATTATGCAACCAATACCAAATTTCATTACACAAAAATATATGCAAATTCACCAGAATATACATATTTATACTACAAATATCATAAATGCTCAATTTATCAAACTTGTTGATAGCCATATATATAATAAACTGTTTCATTTAGGCTGCTATCACATGTCGGTTTGTTTCGAAAGAACAACTGTTTGGAACAATTTTTCTGCTTTGTCACAACAGCCAATCACCACAGCTTGCTTTGGGGTTAACACAGGGAAAACTGGTTCTTCATTACAAACAAGCTAACAGCATTCGGCGCTGATAGCTGATTGTTTGAAAACGAACAACTTGCAACTTTTTTCGAAAGGAAGGAAAAAGTCGCACGTCTTTCTTTCAATAGTAAACCAGGCAGAAAAATTGTCCGAAACAGTTGTTCGAGTGAAACAAACGCCATGTGATATGGGCCTTACAGTACATCACAATTGACCACATCCACAACACTGGTGACACAATTGCAAAAATTGGGTACTGGAGATTAGCAAGAAGGATGGTATCCTAAAGATTGTACCATTAACAAACCTCCACAAAAGAGAAAGAGAGGAAAGAAGGTGAAATGGAATTAAATTTGAAGACAGGGATGGCCATTGCATTAGTAGAGCATTCTTCGTGTCCTATCAAACTTAACGGTAAGCCTCTGTTGTTATCAGCTGCATAATTATTTTGTTAAAAGTGATAATCAACCCTGCTTTCATTTCATTGCAGCATCAGCAAATATTCTAGTTAGCCCTATTCACACAGATGCCTACCATAATCAAAGTTGAATAAATTTAGTATTTGAGAAATGTGTAAAAAAACTTATTCCAACATAATAAAATTTGGCATCAATTAAGTAGTTTATTTGACATTAATTTTTAAAATGCTTCATGGATTTATGAATAACCCTGCATTAACATATACTTTATGATGAGAAAGACTACTTTGAAATAACTGATTTGCAATCTAGGCATAAAAAACACTGACAGTTGTCATTTCTCATAAAAAAATTCAATACTGTTGATTTATATTAAATAATTATGAACCCTTTTCAAGGAATCATTTTGCCTCTCGCAAACGTAAAAACATGAAAGGAAAAATATCCACAGTTAAGAGACATTCTAAAGCCAAATCTCTTGGAAAACACAGAAACTAAGACTTATTCCTTTTCTCACAAATGTACGAACATTTATGTGATATTTATTACATTCATGTAACCTTTAAGAAATGATTCACATAACAACTTTCTTGATTATGAGTTGAAATATTTTGTTTATGATGGTAAACTCTGCTGAGTCGCATCCCATCAAAATATAAGGATGAGACAGAGAGAGAAATAAAATTACCATGATTATATAAAGAAGAAATGAAATGTACCACTATTCAAAAAGAGGAAATGTTAGGATTTTCTGAACTTGCTAATATGTATTGGAATTTCTAAGGTCAGTAGCAAGACCAAACAAAAGTTTATGCTACTGTTTATATGTTTAAAGCATACAATCAAGACATATGATATAAGCACACTGAAAACAGAATACATCTACCTCTAGTTACATTAAGGAACTGTTACAAGCATCTGCTTCTTACATTCAGTCTCAAATATCAAAAGTGATAAATTACCTGAAACAAAAACAAATTGGGGGGGGGGAAGATAACCTTTTATTTAAATTTTAAATATATGAACAAAAGATGCAGATATCTTATTAGTTTTACAAAACCTTGCCTACCAATGGTGAAATTTTTTTTATCAAATTAGAACTGCATTATTTCCAAGGAGACTTATTTTAGAAAAGTGAAATATCAAAAACAGAAGATTACTTAAGTCATATACTGATTATTTAAAAAAAAAAAAAATACTTCACAAACAGCAAAAGCATATAAATATTTCATTTGTTCAATATGAAATTTGTTTCATAGTTATTTAACTGAAAATTTCAACTGCTTAATTTTTTCTAATTTTGTAATAAATGAACTCTGTAACTTAAATGATTTTAGACATGATTAAATAAAAATCTAAATTAATATAGAAAATTCACTCAACAAAAGCCAACAAATAAATTTAGATATCTGTTCCTGTCTAAATTTGCATCATGCCTCTCTGCAAAATAATAATAATAAAGCATTTCATGCAAAAAAGAAAAAGCATTGCCACTTAATTAACACACCGACATACCTTCAGCCACCACTTCCCAGATATTTGCTACAAATACATAAAATATAAGCTTATTATAAGACAGAACACAATATTCTGATAATTATAACACAGTCACAAAAAATAGAACAGCACTACCTACAAAGAAAATGAACTGGGAGACACTTAATAAATTTATAACATTTGAAGCTTTAATGAAAACCTAACGAAAATGAGGATAAATCATGTCAGATTAAAATAAACTGATTAAGAGAAATAAATTTCAGATGCACTAGTTTCCAAAACAACTTACTATGTAACTAAAATAAAAGGCAAGATTGATTTTAAAACTGAAGCCAAAATTTTTTATTTAGTGCTTTATTTATTAATTGAAGTCCCAGCATATTTCCTCTCGCACATTATATTTTTTTAGATTAAACATTATCTTGTGAATGAAAAGAAAACTAGTTTATGCAAACATATAATAGTATTTAAAAAATCAAATATACATATATATATATAATTTTTATACTTAATTAAAAGGGAAATATACTCACACTAATATTGCCTCCTGAATTTGTGTCAGCAACCTTTCTTGGTTTGTTTTCATTTGATTTTACATGAAAAATGCATGCCAGCATAGCTGCTGTTTGAACATCATAATGATTGCCATAATGAAATATTCTGGAGAGAAAATATATATATTTTACACAAAAATAATTTTTTTTAAATTGATAGAAAAGGATGAATATTTTAGTTTTCTAAATTAGCTTCCAATACTAATTCTGCTTTCAAAATAATCTACATTTATTGTACATGAAATTAATAATAAAATTCTTCAGAACAGCAAATTTAAATTTAAATAATATTAAATACAAAATATTACAACACTGAGTTTATATTACATTTTCTGTACCATCTACAGTTTATATAATTGCAGACTATGATAAAACATACATACAAGAAATAATAACTAAATAACCAATATTTTCTATAGCAATGATTAGAAAAAATATCAAGAATAAGATAGCATGAAAGTTATTTAAAAAAACTGTTGAAATTAAAAGTTGATTTATAGTAAAGGATTGTTAGAGACAAAATTAAAAACATCAAAAGGAGTGAATAAGCAATGATATTTTTCTATTCTCAAACTTAGGTCATTAATTCAAAAAGTTATCAGTTTCAGATTTCACTTTTTAAAGAAATAATGCACAAAGGGATACTGAAGGTTATTTTTTGAAACATGATGCTAATTTTAGCATATTTGGTTATTATAATATAAGTACATACATATTATATAATGTAAAACACAAAAAGGTTAATATTGATAACTCTATTCTTGTTATACAATGAGGAATACATAAAGGTGAACACTAGCATAACATAAGTGATATTACTGACCAGACTTTAGCAAAAATAAATCAATATTTCATATACAGAGAATTTTATCTCATTTTTTTAAAGACTAATTGATATACTGCAAATTTCAATCATCGTAAGAAATGTATTATTGTGCTGTAAAAATAAATAAATTAAAAAATAATTAGAACTCTTGCTCTTATTCATACAAACTGAGAAAAAATATTATTGATAAAATGCTTCCCTAAAGTAATACAATCATAATAAATTAAAAAAAATTACATACATTAAAATTTTATAAAAAGTTCTATTTCATAATTAAATTTCTCAAGTAAATGCAGTATCCTAAATTGAGTTTTGCAGAACACAATATGATGAAATAAGTAGATTTAAATTAACTACAAGAAAGTTTAATGCTTCAGAAATTCAACAAAACAAAACAAAAATCACACCTGTTAAAACAAATTAAAACAAAAATAAATACATTAAAAATATGCAAATTTTATCCATTAAAATTACATTTAATATAAAATTTAAAATAAAATGAAATCAACTCTACATTTATGATGGTAAAAAATTATACATATAAATTACTGACAAAGACTGAAGCATCTTTTGTCCAAATGGATGAGTTGCAAATGGCATACTATCAGGATCTGTGATCGGTACTGATGCAGCATTAGATATATGACCAGCTAATGACCAAACCTATTAAAAAGTCACATGAAAATAAATAGAAGCACAAAACTCATTGTCACAATGCACTTAAAAAAGTCACTCTCTGCCCAGTTTTACTTTTCTCTCTTAATGATTTTATAATTGATTTTTTTTTCTTAATAAGTCTTAAAATTTGAAAATTAAATAATATCCTAATAAAATATATTTATAATAATATCAAATATAATTTTTTGTCCAGTATGAAAAGAATTTAAGTTCCTATTTTTCAAAGAATTTTCAAGTTTCCAATTTGATAGAGTACATGGCAGTGGAAGTTACTTAAATATGCAAATTTTCCTTTAATCTCATGTTTTAGAAATTATTCACATGATATTTTTCCAACTTTACAGCAATTATAATCACTTTATCATTTTATCATTCATGACAACAAATGAAGAAACAAAAGTTTAGACTTAATCTGCAAAAACAAGTTTTTCTACCTAAAGTTTAGCAATATTTAACAGCAATATTCTGTTCAACTTTCCTTATACACTCTTTCTACAAAATCATGAAACTAGACTACATTCTTTGATTATAATATTTTCTGAAATATGACAAACATAGAAAAGCTATATTTTCATATTATTTCAGCTCATTATAAAAGATTGCTGGATATTAATAAATCAATTTTAACTACATATAGTTTATTATTATTATTTACAAATGGTTAAAATTAAAAAAACCTGGACTAGATCTTTGCAGCCTTCTTTTGCTGCTACTGCAGCATTCTTTGCACAGGTAGCAGCAATATCCTCAGAACCAAACCTATGTTAAAAAGTGTTACTATGGAATGCTACAATTTCAATACATTTCAAACAGAACAGATAAATTTTAGAATTTAGGAAATACATATTTAAGTTTCATTTTAATTTATAATAAAAAGAAAAGAATCCATACACATAGTTTTGTGCCAAAATTGGGTTGATGGGCATTAATTTGGAAATATTATATATCAAAACAGCACCAGAGTTACTCAATTGTTTTGCTCCAGAAGACCTTCTATCTTGTAAACTTCTACGTTTTCTCTGCTTCTAAAAAATTAAAATGGAAATATATAGTTAAGGGAAAATAATACAACTCATCATTACAAAATAGTTCAACAAAGTAACAGATACCAACCCATTGCAATTTGATTTTTGACATACTGTGCTTAAATTTTTCTTAAATTATTATCTTTTAAAATTTAATCCAGCTTTTTTACTTTACTATCACAAAAGTGAATAAATATTACTTTCTTAATATGCTGTGCATACATATGTGATATTATAATTTAGTATTTTCAGGGTTCGTACACATTTCTGCACATGGAAATTAAGTACTTTTAAGGACTTTTAAGGACCATTAATGAAAAAATTAAGGACCTATCAGCATATGGGAACTGATTAAATTCAACTAAAAATATTATCCTATGCCTGAATTTCACTTTTCTAATACCATCCTAAAAATAAAATAGATCCAGTAGTATGCATTATTGCCAAATGTAAATTAATTAACATAATTATTAATAAGTTTGAGAATAAAATAAATTTCATGCAGTTTATCAAGTAGTGTTAAATATTTTACAAGCAGCATTTATAATAGGTTGGACATATTTGAAAGAAAATAAGTGACATTTACATTTTACTAATAGTTAGCTTTATGTTGATTTTTTTATGTCTTATTTTGTCACATACTTGGTCAGTCTAAAGCAGAGGTTCTCAACCGGTGGTATGCAAGAAAAAATAGGTGGTACACAAAGAAGCAAAGTATTTTTAACTATTTATTTCAAAATTAAAACCCCAACATCCTGATTGAGTTTTTTTCTTTAACACTCGTAAATTGATGCGATCTGAGCTTTGTTCACAAGTGGTGGTGGTAATAGTACTTTGGTGGTATTAAAGGGTTTCAATTTTTATTCAGATAGTACACATTAGTCAAAAGGTTGAGAACCGCTTGTCTAGAGGTTTAGTGAATAGCAGGTAAATTTTATGTCAAATGGCATAGGTTAAAATGAGAAGTACCATAATCAGCATTATTCATAATAAAAGACTGAATGTTATCACCACTGCTGCTTGTCTAGAGAGAGACCTGCTGATTAGAAAAACCTGAAAGGCATGATGTAGGCACGGTTGGCAAGTGTTAAATGTTAGTCAGGCTCTGATGCAGTTAGTGTCATAGCTTCGTGTAGAGTTCCAGGGGTTGTAACCCAGTTAATATACTTTCAGGTTCCAATAAGCCATTAAAGAACCAGAGGTGATAAGCTGTTTTGTATTAAGTCTCACTAAATGCAAAGAATAAGCTTTACTTGAATTTCTACATTTTTGTGTTTTATCTTGTGACCACAGTGAGTATTAATGATAGGCAATAACTCGTTTTAATATGTAGAGATAATTTTTAAAGGTAAGCACTTAGTTATAAATAATTAAATTAGGTAAATAGGCAGCCTTAGTCATGGATTTACATGGCCACTATTAAATTTTATTTTTTAACAATATTTGTTAAAAAAGCCCAAAAAAAAAAAAAAAAAAAAAAAAAAAAAAAAAAAAAAAAAAAAACAAAAAAAAAAAAAAAAAAAAAAAAAAAAAATCAAAAAAAAAAATCAAAATCTAATAAAATTTCACAGTTTAAAATACATGTAATTTATGACACTGATTCTTAAATGATATTAGAATAATTACACATTAAAAGCTACAAAACATTTATGTTTTGTAACAACAACACTCAACAAAATATTTATCCGTCATTTTAATTTGAAGCCTTCCCAAACATTTTGGCTAGTTTATACCGATTTCCTTCTCTTTAAGCATATTTTCTAACAATAATTAGATATTTATCTCAATATGCAAACCAATGCTCTCACTAGTTTCTGCGTGCTTTATCTCCTAATTTGTCAACCTCTCCACAATGTACCTATGAGGGTTTACTTGATCTGGTAAAAGTTAAATAGTCTAAAACCCCCGACAGACGTGAAGCAAATTATCACTATGTCTGAAAATAACTACAATATCGGACAAAGGTTTAAATAAGCCTCTTATTTGAAAAGAACTTAGAACAAACATAAACACATGTTCTGATGCTAACAAAGTCAATTATATCTCACGGTGACGTAATTAAACAAGAACAGTCAAATTCAAACTAAAAAGTTGGACTAGTGGTCAAAAATTATACAATTTAATTTTAATTTAATCTGGCTCAGTAACTCTATCATATGAGGAAACAGAAATGGAAAATTATAGCAAAGGCTGAAATCATAAACAATTGCGTAATTTACATAATAATAACTGCACATATCTTTAAAGAATAATTTTCATTATGTATTCAGTTTCTTTCTTCAGCATGTTTCTTTTTCATTTTAGAATTTTTGGATTTAATTAAGGATTTCTGTTTTTCTAAAAAATACTAAATGCAATTAGAATGTACAGAAAAGGTGGATAATTTTATTTCCTTAGTAATATGAACATTCAGAAGAAATATGAAATATATGGTAAAGGCCAGTTACAGAGCTGATGTGGCAGAATTTTAAAAATTTAATATCACCCCGAACAACAAAATCTAGAAATCGCAAAACTTTTAGAAATTAGAGCTGATATTGGAAGCATTTAGAAAGGCACTAAGCAACAGAATTCAGGCTCCACAGAGACTGCATCGAGTGGGAAAATGCCTAGTGCCAGCTATGTGTATGGTGCATTAAGACATATTAAATTAATCTTTTAAATTGTAAGTTTTCAATTTCTTTATTAATAAAAAAATCCTTTTCTATAATGTCTGCCCAAGTGATACGATTAGAAGCATTTTTGATATTTTCCATGCTTGTGTCTAGTGAAAAGTAGAGAAAATAAAGGGAAGATAAACATGTTAAGAAAAAGATTCTAGTATCAGGAATAAAACACTCAAATAGTATTCATGTCTTCATTGTTCTTCCAGACGTTCTCCAAAAAGTAAGAAATTCATCGCAAACATTCTGTAAAATACATCCATTATGCGTTGATACCATGAAGACATTTTTCACTTTGTAACATATTTCTCGAATCTTCTAGAAACGTGGGTCTATAAATCTTGCTTTCAAATCCTTCTAAATTTTCCAAGTTGCACTGTCAAAAATACTAAAGAAAAATTATCCCAACCAATTCTGTAACAGCAAAAAGCCAAAAATATTTTTGAAAAAAAAAAAAAAAAAAAAAAGGTAAAAGTGTAAAATTACTTTTATAGATGAAACTGATGCATATTCTGAGAACTTTGAATATTCCGAGACAATTACATGGGAAAAACGCTTACTATGAAAAAATTAAAAAGAAGATATTTTTAATTAATTACATAGAATTTTGCTTTTGCTAAGAGTTGTTTCGTAAATTGTGCTTTATAGCATTATACCTTGTTTATTTTTCAGATTCAAAATATTGTATAATAAGCTGCCAAAATAAAACTTTATAATATGACAGCAGAAAATAAAAATGTTTTATTTTAATGTTATTTATCAAAGTTATGATGTTTTTCAAAAAAAAATCGTCGAAAATTCTGATTTCAGAATTACACATTTTCTATACAAACTGGTCTTAAAATCGCCAAAATGTTGACAAGTCGCCAAATTTAGAACCGTTTAAAGAATTCACATTCCCAAAAGCGAAAATTGTTTAAGAGCTTTTTATTACAATAAATGAATTTCGAAATGCTTATGTTTTACTTCTTGCTTAGAAACTCGAGTATCCTGTCATTTATATTAAAAATAGAAACAAATTATAACCCATGAACCCATTCAAAAGATAACCATATATGTCATTGAATCACCCAAAATATTCCTCCAAAATGCTAATTCACACTCAAAATGGCAGTCGTAAAAACAGACAGAAATTTCAGATGATTAAAATTACGGACCTTCTACTGATTTTGGCCAAAATTAAGGACTTTTAAGGACCAAAAATCGGTTCCAAAAAATTTAAGGACTTTTAAGGACTCTTAAGGACTGTACGAACCCTGTATTTTTACATGCACTAGCAATTAGTTCCAAATAAAGTCTAATACATGCCCCACTAAAATCTCATATGAAGGTAAATCTAAAATAGAAATCTCTCTCTAGTTTGTTGAGGTTTTAAATTTAGTAAAATTGTGTCATTATCAGCTCAGAAACAGGCTGCTCCATCTGCTTCTCTCGTTCTGACAATGATGTGCCAAGAGATGCAAATTCAGTATTATTTGCATTATCTTTTTCAAATTATTTTTTGCAATATCTTTCATACTTTTTATGCATTTTGATCTCGATGCTGGGTGGTTTTTATTTAGCAGTTTGTTGCATTTGCAAACAATTTTTAATTTTTTTACAATTGACAGGTTCTTACTCTGTGCTGAATATGCACTGGATTCAAATATTTCTAATTTGCCAATATATATATAACTAATAGAAAAATATTTTTACTGATATTAAAGAGCCATGCAAGAAAATCATAAAATCAATAATTAATTATGTATTTTAAATAGTTATAATTACTCTATCCTGATGATAAAATGATGAAATGGAAACAGATGTTTCACCACTGGGACTTTGGGCTAGAGGTGGATACACAAGGCTATACTGAGCAGGTGATGATGATGCAGTTCTGCCTTTCAATGGAAGGACAACATGAGATGCCAAATAAGCAGATAATGCTGATAATGAGCGTGGAGTATCATCAGTGGGAGCATTAATTCTATGTAAGTGTGATGGTCTTGTAAAAACAACCAATAAGTCTGAAAAAGGAAGGTATTAAGTAATTTTATATTTGATATTTTTTTATAAATTAAAAATTATACTTACATTGAAGATAGACAGCAATAAATTACCTTTTTCTCTTAGGCAATGGGTACCAATAATGTAGGTCTATGTTTTATTACTCATAATATTTTATATCTTAGAAAATAATAAAAAAGCAATTACATGCTTTGTTCTTTGGTTATAAAAAATTCTCTAATAATTAGCTTAAAGAGAGGGAGGATTAAAATACAAAAATATTTTTTACAGCTGGTAAAACTATAGAGATTACTAAAACAAAAAAGAAAACTATGAGCAAGTGGAATTAATATACATAAGAATCTGAGCAACAAAAATGAATACAAAAAAATCCAAGTTATCCATTCACCACAAATATTATTCTTCTATTATAAAAAAAAAAAAATAATGGGTTGGATTTATTATTAAGGTAAAGCATGCAAGTAACAATTCTGAAGGTATATCTTCCTAGAGATTTTTCTGAAAACAATTACTTCCCATTTATCCTACATATAGGAAAAATCAACTCAGATAGACAGCCTGTCCAGTTGCCAAGAATAATATTTGTGGTGAATCACCATTATTTCAAAGCTCCAGCCACTTGGCCAAAAGTAAATATAGGTATTAAAATAAAAAATTAATTTAAATACATGAATTGGAAACACAAAACAATCTTATTGTGTACATATATATATTTGAGGCACTTATATTTAAAGTAGATTTGAGGCATTGAAATTTGAATAGTTAATATATATCTCACTATAAGTATAAATGCACTTATTTGGATTGTTCTGTGAAATTATTTGCAACAAATATATATTACTAATATTGCAAAAAATATTGAAATTGTATTTACACACACCACATAATTATGAATTTCAATGTTAATGTGTGTGTGTGTGTATATATATATATATATATACATACATATATAACACAGTAAAAATTATATGAAATTGGACTTTCATTATATTACCTTTTCCAGGATGATAATTTCTCCAATTTATATATATATATACATGCACACACACTACCTGACACTGAAAATGCACCACCAAGAAGAAATGGCCAGAAAGTGATGAAACTCAGCAAAAAGAGAGTGATAGCAATGAACAATTAAGTGATTGTTATTTCAAAATGATATACAGTACAAAGTCCGTAATACGGACTCGCCGGGACTTTGGCGATTCCGGATTATAGATCATCAATTTAAATCTGTTAAGATGGCCTGCAGAAATTATACAATTAAAAATATGAAACCATAATTTATGAAATAAAGAGCAATTATGATCTAAAGGGTATCAATATTTACAAAAAAATAAAAAGATTAAAATTTATTTGTTTACTTTATTAAACATTTCTTTCAATGTAAGTTGTTTTAAGTTGCTTCATTTTTGTGCTAATACTTTCTCTTTTATTCTATAAACTGACATAATTTCTTGTTCAGTTACAAAGTTCCACCTATCGGAAGCGGTATTTTCTGGATCTAGAACCATACTACAGATTTCGCCATTCATTAATTTGTTGATGATTGAGGGATTGTCGTCGCAATGAAAAACTTCTGTTATATCATCTTCATTTATTACTGCTTATCATCCACATTTCTTTACAAAATTCAATAACTGGAAAATTTCACCTTTAGTTTGCAATGTTCGAAAACATTCAAATTCGTGGCTATCATCTTCATTGTCCTCACCATGAAATATGGTAGCTTGCCATAAATTATGCCAAACATTTTTTAACATATCTGGAGACATCCTCCCAAGACACATGCATAAAGCATACAAAAAAAAAAGTTTGTGGATTATAGATCATTCCGGATAATGGACTTTGTACTGTACATAATACAAAGCGAGAATAGCATTGGCTCAGTAGGTTGTAAGACCACTTTGGAAGGCAATATACGAAGCAATATGTCTAGGTACAGGTTCAATGAGACTACAGATGATGTCTTGAGGAATGGCTTTCCATTCCTTGTCAACCATCTGCCACAGTTTGTCTCCTGAACACGGGAATGGCAGGGTCTGAAAATGGTATCTAATCACATCCCAATGTGTTCGATTGGTGAGAGATCAGGAGAGAAAGGTGGCCAGGGAAGCATCTGTACACCAACATAGCATATTGGCTGATGCAAACAGAGTGTAGTCTGGCATTATGCTGATAAAGGGCACTAGGCACTCCCTGAAGGTAGGAAAGTGTCACCGGCTGCAGCACATTATCCACGTATTGTTGAGCCATCATAGTGCCCTGAATACGAACTAGAGGTGATATGAAATCATACCTAATTGTGCCCCAAACTATGATTCCACATTGTCACATGGTGGGGCATTCCACCATTGTTGCCGGGCTAGACCTGTCTCCACATCAATGCCACACTCGTATGCTGCGACTATCATTGGAGAAACAGAAGCGTGACTCATCTCAAAATACAATCCTGTGCCATTCCGCCATCCACATCGCTCGAGCCCAGCATCATTGCAGATTTTGATGTCTATGATGAGGTCAATGGAAGTCTTCTTAATGGAAGCCCCGAGTGCAGACCACTAGCCACCAATCAAAGACAAATGGTTCTAGTCAATATGGGAACATCCAGCATGTCTTTAACATACTGCAGAATGGAGGCAAATGAGGCTTGCGGATGTGTCGATCTGCACCAGCCCCCCCCCCCCCCCCGGACTTGCCACATTTCTTTGTTCCAAGCATCATCGGCACAGCAGGTGCACTGTGGATACGTCCAAGTCCTATTACTATGTCCCTCATAAAATTGTCTGTCCGCTGGAACTGCCTCCATTGACAACAGCCTGGCATTCTCTGCTATTATACACATCCTCTGAGACAAGAACATATTTTCTATGATGATTTCCCTAGCAGAAATAATGGCACAAAAACTGAACATTCCACAGTTTCCTTCCCTTACATCTTCTTCAATGTGCGCTGGAGAGCTGCGCATTTCACATCATTCGCATAACTCAGTGACATGCATCTACCATGAAATTTGAATAATTTTTGTGTTGCTTTTTAGTGTCTGGTAAAGTGTATACATATATATATACATAATAATTTATTTCCTAAACAGTATTGATTAATTGATTATATTATCTCCTAAGTTAATCAAAGTAGAATTATTTTAAAAGTGTGCATCCATACTGGTAAGTTATATTTTGAAAGATGTTTTGAAGTAATTTGAAAGCAAAATGTTAATAATGTTTTAACGGGGACTGGAGTTAAATCACCACGAAAAATAATATTTCAATTGTAAAAGGAAAAATTAAAACATGTAATCATTGTCATTGATCGGAAATTAGTTGACTTTTCAAGGGGAACAAACCAACTCCCGTTCAATGAACAATAATTGATAAAAATACGTAAATACGAAAGTGTTTCGTCTTTACTCGAGTTATAAGTTAAAGCCAAACCGGCAATTCTAGTCAGGCCAAATATTTCCGCGAATAGAAGGAATTATGAACCAATGCTGATACTCAAAGAACTTATTCTTATGAAGCATTTTAGTCAATTCAATTTGGAGTAAAAATCAATTACTGTATGGTCAATAATAACAAGCCATAAACAACTGGTTAATCAGTCAATTATATGTATTTATAATCACGGTTAATAATTAAATTATAATTATTAATTATAATTATGGCAAATAACCAACTGATGGTTCATTAATATATTTATTACCTACCAACGCATTACTCTTATTAATATCATTGCTTGAATTGCCACAGTAGTAAATTTGTTACATGTAATGAAAATAAGCCCGGAAAATACTTGTCAGACTAGGTGAAGCCTCACATGACTTCAAGCTTCCAGAACAATAATGAAACACAACATGATTCTCATTTCAAAGTAGAGAGTTTTCGGCAGAATTTCACTGTGCCTATGAATGGAATACATGTTTTCAAAGCTGCAAGAACAAATTTTAGAGCAAATACACATCTCTTGGTACACTGCAATTGCAGTCACTGGCGCTTTTCTCAGAACCTTGGCTAAAACCTATTTTCACTTCTGCAAGACCTGTTGTTACCTTTTTCTTGATGAACAGATGCCTCTTTTCTCAAGCACAGAAAATATGAGCAAAATTTTCTCTCCTGTTTGTAGGATTTACTGCTTTTGTTTTTTACAGATTTACCAGCAGAATTACTGTCAGCTCACGGTTTTGTAACAGTAATTTATTTTTTATATTTTTAGGCTTAGATTTCATTTTCAGACATTATTCCTTCTTGATGACTACAGACTTCTAAAAAAATAGCACTTACACTGGCAGGATATGAGAATTTTCTACTCTGAAGATTAAGGGGTTGAAAGTGAAGAATCAGACTAACTACTACAACATTCAGATTTCTTATAATTTGCCATACATTTTCAGAATTACATCAGAACTGAAATCAACTTCGAATTGTTGTGAAAAGAAGATATTTTAACAAACCTGCAGTTACCATTTAAAGATACATCAAATCATTTTTAAAAACATAAATAATATCATTATAAATAAAAAATCAGATATGTGGTCATTGACATCTAAATAATTCATAACCATAAATTAACATATATTTTGAGTTCTAAAAAATATTAAAAAAAACTGATTGATACTTAAGTACAGAAAAATGATAAAAAATTGATCTCTTAAAGCACTGAGTGGTCCTTAACTGATGACTAATTAAAATCAATTTTAATTAGTCATCAGTTCTTTAAACAATTGCTCTATATTTTTCCTTACCAGCACCACAAAACCTAGCACCAGAAGTTCTCGGAAACGGAACACTAACATCTTGAAATCCATAGGGAGAGGTAGGATTAAAGCTTGATTTTGCAGCTTCAATATGAAAAGGACTTTCTGGCATTGAAGGTTCCCCTTTATCTTCAGCCTAGGAAAAAGAGGAAGGAAATATGCTGCATCAGTGCTATATTATATATGAAGTTCCAAGCAGTTTAACCCTCTGAGCGTTATGACCGGGTTTATCTGATCATCAGAAGTTTTGCTACTTGGTATATATTAGCTTACAATTTAAGATATTTTGCTTTCTTACTTTCTTTAATAATGTAAATATCATCGTAATGAATGTCAGTTTATGAAGATGCAGACTAAAATAAGTAATTATACAAACTAAATTAATAAATGCTGTTTGAATACAGGTCTTCATGATGGATCTAAAATCCTGTGCCACTCAGAGGGTTAAATAGTCATTGATAATCTTGCATGATTTCAACACTTAAACAGTTCTGGTAGTCAAAAAACAGTCAAATGTTTATCACTTAAGTCAAGAATAAAATTTCACTGAATAAATATTATTTTTCAAGGTGAGGGGGGGGAAAACACCACCTCATTTAATGTTTACATAAAATGTCACAATCTAGAAATATGATTTACGCAGTTATTACATCAAAGAAAAATGTTTTATGTAACTCAGTTATTCAAAAGTCTAAAATTTGCAGTCTAAAAATAGTCAAAGTTTTTATCACTTAATTAAGTAAAGAAAATTTCACTGTATAAATATTATTTTTCAAGGTGTGGGGAGGGGGAACACTCATTTAATTTTGGTGCTAAACAGATTCCTTTTCACCTAATGACCTAACCTTTCCAGTTAGTGTCATTTCGACACCTTGCAGATTTCCAACAGAAAATGCTTTTATTTATTACTTATATCACAATGTATCCCAACGTGATACTGAATTCGCTTTCTTTCAATTTTTTAGGGCATAAGTTTTCCATGCTTTCCATGCATATTTTCCATGCTTCTGTCTAGTGAAAAGTAGAGAAAATAAAGAGAAGACAAACATGTTAGGATTCTAGTATCAGAAGTAATACAGTCAAATATTATGTTTTCATTGTTCTTCCAGATGTTCTCCCAAAATTAAGAAATTCATTGCAAACTTTCTGTAAAATACATCCACTACATGTTGATACTATGGAAACATTTTTCATTTTGTCACATATTTCTCGAATCTTCTAGAATCGTGGGTCTATAAATCTTGCCTTCAAATCCTTCTAAACTTTCCAAGCTGCAATGTCTAAAACTCTAAAGAAAAATTATCTCTACCATTTCTGTAACAGAAAAAAGCCAGAAATATTTTGGAAAAAAGTAGGAGGGAAAAAGTATAAAATTAATTTTATATTGAAAACTAATGCACATTCTGAGAATTTTGAATATTCTGAGACAATTACATGAAAAAACTCTTACTATCAAAAAATTAAAAACAAGACATTTTAAATTAATTACATAGCTAATTTTGCTTTTGCTAAGAGCTATTTCGTAAATTGTGCTTCCTTGTTTATTTTTCAGATTTAAAATAAGTTACCAAAATGAAACTTTATAATATGACAGTGAAAAATAAAAATGTTTCATTTTAATGTTATTTTTTAAATATAATTTCAATATATTACCATTATTTTAATAAAATTTATCAATGTTATGATGTTTTAAAAAATATCGTCGAAAAATACTCAGATTTTTGAATTAAAAAGTTTCTATAGAAACTAATCTTAAAATCGCCAAAATGTTGAAAAGTCACCAAATTTAGAACCATTTAATAAAAGAATTTTGGGCTTTTGCAACTGAGGATGGTGGTTTGGTAAAACCAGCGAAACTAGTCTTGTGAAAATTTGAAAATATAACACTGATTTTTGTTGTTTGATTCCTGAATCAGTACTATTGGAATAGTTTCAGTACACTGTTTCATTCAGAAAATACGCAAAATTAAAAATCTCTTTGCATCACTTTTCAGTCAGGTGAATTACAGGGAACCTCCAATATGAAGCAAAGCTTGCAAATGTTGCCAGTACCAAATTTATGAGATCACACAGACACATGAATAAGAAAGGAAATAGGCAATAGTAAAGCATATCAGGGAAATACATTCATGTCCATTAATAACTGAAGCTGAGGTAAGAAAGCAGTTCAATGTGGTAATTCTGTTGTGTTTGAAGGCTTCTGATATATAATTAATTTCATGTGGCTGCATAAGAAGAAATTTATGATTTTAAATGTGGTGATCTACAGACAGAAACGTCTACATATAGAAATCATGCAAAATGAGTTACTGGTGCCTTTCTATTCATCCAGCAGGAGATGACATCTCTGGGGTTACCTTCCCCCTTATATTTTTTCAGCTCCTCGAGTTCTCCACCTCGTGCATGTGTGATAAGAATATCATCTCTGGGTGACTTCAAAAAAGAACTCTTCCCTTCTGTTTTTTACAAGTTTGTGTACACACTTTACTCGTTGTTGAGATTAATGTCATTCTATTGCTGTGTACATATTTTGATTTATTAAAAGAATTTATTTTCTAAATGGGTGTCTAGCAGTTAATTAAGACCCCAAATTGGTGACTACAGCATTAAGAAGAACACGTTTTTTAATCATTTGAACATGTCTGCTAATGACGATACTAATGTTTCAATGCAAGCACCTGAAATCAACAAAATCTCAGTTGAAATACTGCCGTTTTGGAAAGATAATCCACGTCAATTCTTTAACAGTGGGATAACTGCCGATATCACAAAATACCATACAGTGGTAGGCCACATCTAGACAGACATCTTAAGTCAGGTAAGTAATATGATCTTCAAGTTATTGATGTTGTTGTGACACTCTTAAAAAAGATTAATTGAAGTTTATTCTGACTCTGCAAAACAAAAATTAAAAAAACTTTTGAGAGACATCGATTTAGGCGACAAACGCCCATCTGTTATATTCCGACAAATGTAAGAACTGGCGGGACTTCTGGTTGGAACTGAATTACTAAAATCTTTGTGGCTTCAACGCCTTCCAGCTCAGACGCTAGAGCCATAGTGGCCTCTTCTGATATCAAACTTAAAAAATTAGCAGCTATGGCTGACAAAATCTCTGACATCACAAGTTCTGTCCAGCTTCCTGCAATGGATGTTAAATCAAAAGTAACTAATTCTACTGATACAAGCGATACTTTAGATAATTTACAAAACAAAAACCTGATTTAAATACAAAAGTAAATAAACTTTTTATGTTGTATTCTCGTGTTCGATCTCACTCTTGTGGACGTTCTAATTCTAGATCTAGATCCTTGCCCATGAATAAACAAACTGGTTGGTACCAAACCAAGTTTGGCAAAAAAGGCCTTTAAATGCAACAAATTTTGCACTTTTAAATTGGAAAACTAGACAGCCAAGTGTGTGTGGAGACGAATGCCATAGGCCAAAATAATTGTCGCCTCCTGGTATATGAAAAAATCTTTAAGAACACATTTTTTGGTTGACACAGGAGCCGAATTGTCTGTTTTGCCTTCTACTCCACAAGACTGGTGTAAACCAACATCATTGCTCAATTTAATTGTAGCAAATGGTACCAAAATTGATGTATATGGAAAACCTTTAGTCAATTTAGACATAGGTCTACGCTGAATTTTTCCATGGACTTTTACTATTGCTAATGTTTCACGACCAATTTTGGGTGCAGACTTTTTAAGTAATTATGGCATTATTGTTCATTTGAAATAAAAAAAAAAAAAAAAAAATTGACAGCATGACTACAGACAGGTGAATGAGTCAGATGGCAAGATATTACGGGACACTGTACCCAAAATTACTGTTTTACATGTATTTAATGATTTACTTTAAAAATATCATTCTGTTTTTCACGATGTTTTAAAACAGCCTTTGAATAAGAATACTCTTGGTATTACACATGCAATCAAAACTAAAGGTTCTCCAGTAGGCTAAGGCTAGGCACCTAGCACTTGAGAACTTGGCTGCTGCAAAAGCAGAATTCACTTATTTGATGCAAAAAGGCATTTAGATCTCTTCTAAAAGCTTCTGGAGTAGCCCTCTCCACATGGTAAAATCCGTCCTTTTGTTCCAGACAGTCATAGAAAACTTGTCTTTTCAGCTCTGCATAATCTTTCCCATCCTGGACCTAAAGCAATGCTGAAGTTAATTAGTGACCGATTTGTCTGGTCTGGAATGAAAAAGAATGTCACAAACTTCGCTAAAACTTGCATACAATGTCAAAAGGCTAAAGTGTCTTGTCATGTACACTCTCCTTTAACTACTTTTATCGTTCCAGATGAATATTTTTCTCATATTAACATAGATTTGATTGGACCTCTTTCTTCATCTCAAGGAATGCCTTACTGTTTGACATGCATTGACAGGTACACCCGCTGGACCAAAGTGTATCCATTGAAAGATACATGGACAGAGACCGTCACCACTGCTCGTTATGCAGGCTGGATCTCAACATTCGGTGTGCCTGCCCAGATCACCACTGATCATGGTAGTCAATTTAAGTGAACTCTTTTGAGAACTAGCTAAAAACTTTGATATTTGCCTTTCTCATATCATCACGTACCACCCACAAGCCAATAGCATCCTTGAAAGATGGCACAGATCGCTTAAACAGTCCATAATGTGTCATACAATTGTACACTGAACTACTGCATTACCTTCAGTACTTTTAGGACTTCGGACTGCTTATAAAAAGGAACTTAACAACTCTCCAGCCAAACTGGTGTATGGTCAAACTTTATGTCTTCTAGAAACAATTCTTTATGCCTCCTGACAGCAACATTCCAAAGAATGACTTACTATAAAAATTAAATGACCATATAGAACATTTTCAACCGAATGCTACTACAAATCACTCCAAAAAACAGATCTTTGCGTTCAAAGACTTACATAAACGTTCTCATGTTTTCCATGTTTCATGTGGACGCAGTAAAACTCTCATTGCATACTGTTAAGTTTATGACTATGTATCCTTAGATTGCCAATAGATTAGTGTTTGTAAAAAGAAACTGTGATGTCATAATTATGTATATGTAATCAGTTCGTCTTTGGTGTTCGTCAATAAACGTTGTGTGGAATAACGCTCTCTGTTTATCACTTTACATTCGATCCAGTCTGATTTATTAGAGACTTACATATATTTTGTTTACATACACCTTACACTAGTCTTTACTATCAAAAAGAACTCTTCTCTTCTGTTTTTTACAAGTTCGTGTACACACTTTACTCATTGCTGAGATTAATGCCATTCTATCGCTGTGTACGTATTTTGATTTAGTAAAAGAGTTAATTTTTCTAAATAGGTGTCTAACAGTTAATTAAGACCTCAAACATCACAGGAAATTGAAACTGTATACCTTCTAAACCGAGCTTGCCAACTGAGACCATTCCAATGACATGTTGTTTTGTCTAACCTTTTAAATATATTATGTAACATCACTTATTTTTTGGGACATCCCACTGATTAAATTATTCAAACAACAGAATTTATAACAATGAAGAAAAAAAGAATTAAAAATATTGACTTACTGCTAATGTATCTAAGAAACTAACTACTTGTCGTACACATGGCTCTAAACATGAACGATTCCTTTTAACTTGTTGTTGAGAAACCACTTTTAAAACCTTTAAGAAAGAGAAAAAAGATATATGCATACATAAATAAACTTTTATTTGAAATGTATATACGAGTATATATCCATAATAATGGAAAAATCAGGTTAATCTAAGACTAATATTGAAATCTTTCATCACTAATCTTACATTGCAAGCACACACATAATATTTTATAGATCAGAGAGCAAATTTTTATTTTCATCATTTGAAATTTTTTCAGAAATCTTCCTTTTTTTAGTGTGATAATGCATTTTACTTACACATATTGCATTTTATTCATACATCTTACGTGTTCTTCACAAATACGTGACATTTTTTTTTTGTTAATATATAGTTTTGTATCACTTTTTTCACTAAACTGTAATTTCATTTTACTTGCATTTTATAGCCTTTAAATGAATTGTTTCAAGTAATATTATTTATATTTTGCAAATAATTTTTTTTCCTTGGCAACTTTGGATTTTCTAATTAATCTGAAAAATATAAGATCATTTATTATTTTCCAAATTACAACAGTACATTACTTAATTGAATGGAAGAGAAATATACCAAAGTAAAATTTTACTTTAGGCACATAGGCAAACTTACTTTGGCATAAGTTTTTAGATAAAATTCTATTGATGTTAAAGGCAATAAGATACAAGTCTTTTTTCTTCAGAAGCAAACATATTTTGGCATCAAAATTAAAAAAATAATAATTTTGAACAAAGTTTATTAAAATTTACACTTGTACTGCAACAGTAAACTATTATGTTTATGTTTGTGTACTATTATTTATTTCAGCTACAGAATTTCTTTCATAGCTACCTGTACTTTGTTGCTTGCATATTAGAGTCATTCAGAAGTTATATTCTGAATTTAACAATGTTTTAAATATGCACAATGGCATTTTAAATGCAGTCTGAGTGGTGCAATATAATGGCATTTTTAATAATTCTTTAATGCTATATAAAATAATTTTATATATCATTAAAATTAAATTATAATTTTTTAATGATATATATAGTTTTATATATCATTAAAATCATATTTAATAATTTTTAATGATATATAATATGTCAAACTATATACATTAGTTACATTTAAGAAACTACAACATACATATTTTCTATAATGGAGTGAGCGAAGTCCTAAGCAAGTGTTCTTCCTGTTCAAATTCCAATCTCCTTCTTAACTATGCAACCTATAACAAGGGAAAATATCTACCTCCTCTCGGCAGAAGCAAGAAGAGGTTGTCCCTCTGAGGTCGGCATAAAGTTATCACCAGTGCAAAAACTTATGACTGACCCTAAATTTCAAGCAATGGTGAAACTAAGTCAGGGAAGTAGTCTTCCTGTTCTCCCGTTCATTCAGAAAAGGCATGTTTCAACACTTGACTGCACATTTATGATTATTACTATTATTTACAGGGGAAGAAGAAACTTTTGACAAAGTTTAAAAATAAAACATTACCTTTAAGACCTTATTTCTCATTTCATCATCTATGTTTGTACCTTTGCAAAACTGGAAGGATGGGGGATTATTGTATGGATATGTTGTTGGAAATGTTAGTTTCAATGAGACAATATATTTTCCACTAATGACTGTTACTGTACATGATCGCTTATATGCATCCATCTGCAAAGGAATTATAAATTCATCATGATAAGCAGATGTCTGATACATATATAAATAAAGAGATAATATACACTCTTTTGGGGAGAAAAAAAAAAAAAAAAAAAAAAAAAAAAAAAAAAAAAAAAAAAAACAATTATTTTCATTTTCATACGAAGTATGCAATTGATTAAATTTTCAAGTAAAATGAGTAACAACTTCGGTCAGAGGATGCATTTTTACTGTTTCAGTTTTTCATACCAAGTATGCAAATGATTAAATTTTCAAGTCCAATGAGTAACAACTTCGGTCAAAGGATGCATTTATACTGCACAGCAAGCATTATAAACAACAAGTATAAAACTGGCAACAACTGCAGATGGTTTATCTTTTCTCATTGTCAGCATTACAGGTCCCTGGAGGATAAAACAATAATGCCATTGTGAGGTTATTGAAGACTTTACGGACAACTGGATGACTTTGAACAAATTAGCATATTAAGAATGTGAAGTGAACTGGTCGTACCAAGCAATGGGCCACCAGCTGCTCCATATGTATATAGCTCTGCAAAGATGCTGATAAAAAAAAAAAAAAAAAAAAAAAAAAAAAGACTGCAAATTACTCATTGATGGAATCAAGGCTCTGGAAAGCAATGGAAGGTGTACAAATGCCAAGAAGACTGGATGATTATTCTACAGGCCTGAACTTCTCCAACAGCATCATTGTCCACTATCCAATACAGCATACAAATTACTTTCTTACCAACCATAGCACCTTTCACCATCTCACGGTGCATAACCAAGGTAGAGCTGCCCTCATAGTGGTCTTTAAAATGTCTGTCTTTAACTCCACAACATCAACAGAGTCATCTGGAGTGGTGTCATAGCCAATCATCATGGCTGCCAGGCAAATGGCACTGCATATTGTTCAGTGAAAACTCCTGCTTCAGTTTTGGAGTAGATGATCATCAGGTCCATGTGTGAAGGGGCCACACCCAGCCAACAGTCCCAATCAGCCTTTGTTTTTCAGAGGCATACAGCAATTACCCTTGGTTGTGATGATGTGAGGTGCTATCTCTTATGACAGCAGGCCAACCCTAGTCATCTTAACACAACTTTAGCAATTAAACAATATGCTGATGACATCCTGCAGCCATTTGAGTAATCCATCATGGCATGCAACCATTGAGCCATTTCCTACCGGTATAATGCTACACCTCTCATGATTCCACATGTCTGGTCAGTCTATGAGCTGCTGATACTCTTCTTTGGTCAGCAAGGTCACCAGTTCTTTTGCCAATTGAAATGTATGAGATATGGTAGGCCATCAATTTTGGGTACCCCAAACTGTTGCAGATCTGGAGCAAGAATTGAAGAATGCTTGGCAGAATGTATCACAGGATGAGATTAGGAATGTGCAATTGCTAGCCACTAATGGGTCCTAGTGCCTTGAATTTTTAATCATTTCATTTACCTGTGTATAAGTTTTATGTATATTTCAATAAAAAAACAGTCACTTTTTTTGATGGTGCTTTGTTTTTTTTTTTTTTTTTTTTTTCTTTCAAAAAAAAAAAAAATCAAAAGAGTGTGTTAAGTATAATTAAAAACATTATTTAATCAGCTACATACCTCAATTATTAATCATGATTAATATTAGATTCTTATATAAATAAGAAATACATAATTTATAAGGTACTTACATAAAATACATAATTTATAAAGTACTTACATACTAGTCAAACCATTTTAAAAGTCAGCAAATTTTTAGAAATTTGGCAACCATGTGCATAATACATTCATGGACAATTGCTAATGGTGGATGACAATAGTGATAGCAACCACAAAATGGAAGGCAGGAAAATGTGGAAATTAGCCTTAGTGCAGGATACAGTAAAACATGTTAAGCATATGCAAATTTTGGATTGCCAAAGTTGTCTATCACCTGATAGTGCTGATAAAGGATATTAAGGATTTGATGAGTATTGACCATTATTGTTCAAAAGCAAAATTTAACAGGAAAGCATCAACTGATGAACTTGCAATTTTCAGTACGTCTTCCCGACATCACTTAGATAATTTACAGGTGCCCATATCATTGGCAAGATCGAAGAAGGACAAAAAATAACACATGTTGCTAGGGTGTTCGACATTAGCCATAGTGTTATTTTTTGCTTTGGAAACCATTTCAAACAAATGTAATGCGTAGCAAACATCACTGGGTAGGTCGTGTTCACAATTCAGAACTTTCAGAAAATAGGTACATACTGCTATCGACAAAAAGGAGCCAGTGCAGCAAAGCTACTGAGGTAGCAAATCAGTTCCTTGCTGCTATTGCCAAGCGAATCTCCCCAAAAAACTGTAGCCAGACATTTGCATCAAGGAGGACTATATGACCGCTGTCCTACTGTATGCATTCCATTGGCTAGATGTCACTGTTCCACCTGTTTGCAATGGTGTCATCAACATCACAATTGGAGGGAAGATGAGTGGACTTGCATACTAGTCTCATCTGAAAGCAAGTTTAGCCTCTCATCTGATTATGGATGACAACTGATAAGGCATGAGGGTGGTACTGCATAGTCCAGCAAACATACAGGAAAGGGACTGATATCCTACATGTAGTGTCAAGGTACGGGCTGGAATCATGATCAATGGCTGTATGTGATTCTATGTGCTTCCAACTGAGACTATGACTGGTCAATGATACATCTGCTTCATGTTCTGTGATGCTGTTGAAAATTTGTTTTTACAGACGACATCACAACATGTCATAAAACAATTGCTGTCCATGAGTGTCTAGAGAGCTAGGATATTCAACACCTCATATGGCCAGCAGGTTCTCCAGATCTGAATCCCACTGAAAATGTTTGGGATGTTGTGGGTCATGTTTGGGAAGTCTTGCTGGTCGGCAGTGTTCTCTAATAAAACAAGGATACTTTTATCCATGCACTGAAAGAGGAATGAGATGAATTACCCCCAACAACTGCTGGATAATGCTTGCAAAGCATGACATGACCTGGGGAATCTTGCATTGTCCTTCATGGTGGCCATATCCCATATTGACATCTTATGCCAGAATGCCAGCAGACTGTAATTTCACTTTTTTTACTTTTACATGTTCAGCTCAAAATGGCCATTTTGTCCCTTGAACACTTTTTAAAGCCTTCTGGATTTCAGAGCACAATAAATTATCTTTATTGTTTTGCCCTAGTATTCTGGCTTTAGTTTATTTCACTTGGCATCCAACTACATTTACTTTTTTACAAGCTATATAGACTTTTGTTATCTGCCCTTAGCAATTATACACCAGTGTTATTCTTCAGTTTAAAAATTTACCATTTTAGCGCGATTTTTTTTTCCTTTGTACTACTCCAATTGTTTAGATAGACAATTTAGGATATATATGCATAATTCTTGTCAGGAAGTTTTCAAATAGGCAAAAGTTTCTAAATTACTTTGGTTTTCTACTCTTATTACATTGGCAATTTACATTTAATTGATATTTTGATTCTTAGTCAATCTGCTTTCTAAGTTTTTCAAAAGTCCTTTAGTTTAAGTTTCTTTTTTAAGTAATTCATTATTTTTAAGTATTCATTATTAATATTACTATACCCATGCCTATATGGATGACGAAACACAAATTGGTAATCGAAGAGTTAGGTTTGGAGGCAACTTACCCTAGACAAGATCTGTCTCTTGCCTGCTCAACAATTATTCACTTATGCAAATTAATTTAGTCTCAAAAAAAAAAATTTTTTTTTGAGATTTTTTTTGGAATATTATATTTTTTCATGGTTTTAGATGATTTTTTGGAATATTATATTTTTTTATGGTTTTAGATACTTGCACTTAATTTACATATGCTGTCAGAATTTAAATGGTATTGTAAATTAGTTTGAAGCAATAATTAATCTTTTATTTGTATGCAATTAAAATTTCGTAATTTAAAATTTATATTTCAATTTAAATTAGATTTGTACAAACAGAGAATGAATATATATATATGTGTGTGTGTGTGATAAATACAGGATTAGATGTAATGTTGTAGAAATATTGATTCATAATAAACAGAAAACTTGGCAACCAAGGCAGATTAAATATTCATTTTATTTTTATAGACATTTTGCAACCACAAATAGTTTGGCACTCCAATCATGCATATTTCCAGAATATATACATTTTTTATATTGTTGCAATGAGAAGAAAGCAGAGCAGCAACCTCTTATTGGTAACAGATGGAGGAAGCAAAGTGCATAGTTATCCAGTATGGCAGATTATTAAGAGAAAGGTTTCGGTTCAAGAAATTTTAAGTTCCAAATTAGCTATGTCATCATCATTATGTAAAAGTCATATGATAATGATTATTCTAAAAATGATGCAGTCCAGAATATGTTACTATTATTTTTAGGATAGAGAGGAGAAATATCTAAATGAAAATGAGGAATTTAGGGGCTATTGCTATAGTGAAAAAGCGTTAAAGCAATAGGAAATGAAGAGAAATATCATATATATAGTTTAAAATTTATAAATCATAAAATTTTGACTAACATTGTTTTGATAATATTTTTTAAATGCTGATAATAGTATGTATTATTTTCAATCCAAAAGTCTTCATGTTTTAGAATTTACATAATCACGTTTGTTTAGGGAAGGTTTTTCAAAAGCTTTTCGTACAATATCACAAATACAAGAAAAGTATACACCCATTATTTATTTTGAATAAACATAAATCTCAAAATTGATCAATAAATATCAAATCTCAAATCAGTAAATCTTAAAATTCTATAATAACTAATTTTCATATATTTATACTTGCATTTTAACATGATTTATTGAAGTATTACAGAAATTGTGTTTATTATTAAATTTCTAATTATATTATTTTACATAAAGCTGAAAGACCCCACAGCTTTTTCCAAAATACAAACATAGCTACCAGTTTTGGAATATCGACTTGAATTAACTGATATATTATTAATATTCATCAGTGGTTAAGGGATGCTCGGCAGTTACTTATATAGGCCTCCCTTCCTTGCATAAGGTAACTGGCCTTTAAGAAATGCACTAACTATGTCCTTCTACATAAAAAAACTCGCTTTCCATTATGAAATAAAAATAAAAATAATTCTACATTAAAAAAAAATTGCATTTTTTTCATAAGGTGAGAGCTTTCAAAGTTTATATTGTATGAGGAGGATAAAAGGAACAATTACACAGAGATAAAAACAGGCTTCTGTTTAGAACTGTTTTGAACTCCTTCAACATACTCTATTTTTACCTAACAATTATTCATCAATTGTATGTTATACAATTGTTAACTAAGTATAACATTCTTTTACCCTACTTCCAAATTAATTTTACTTTTTAAAGATGCTACTGAAATAAATTTTATTACAGTTATTCAATTTCTTAAATTTTTAGTATTTCTATATTCATTATAACAATATGTAATATTTTAAACATTATATATTTTCTATATTATACCCAAAACACAATTTTATATCCTTTTTCTGTACTAATATTTCAAAATTATTTATTCATTCATTTTTCATATTCACATTTTTCTTAAAATAATTATTAAATTCTTAAAATAAATCAAAGGTGTTTTAAACAATAATTAAAAAATATGATTATTTTAATAACCTTTCCTAAATAAAATAAAAACAAATCTTTAAATTCACTACTTAAATTTATAATTCAATCTTTGATATACCATTAAATTTTAATCATTTTTATAACATAGTGCTAAATTTTTAAAATACAATATAATAAGAAAACAACATTATATATTTAAATTTGTGATTATATATTAAATTATATATTTAAATTTAGTGAAACATTTCTAGATTCACATAATAACTTAAAGCACTTTATGTAAAACTTTAAAATCTATAGCACTACTTGAATTTTGTTTCACTGAAGTCATTGTAATTTAACTCATTATGATCGAAAAAAATAATTATGAAGCACTATTATGGATAAACATGTTAATTTATTACACACATAATTTAAGCACATTCTATAAACAGAGATTAATGACCTTCAAAAGCATTGGGAATACATAGTTAAAATGATTTGGAACGTTCATACTCTCAGTCCTTGAAAACTCTCATTAAATCACTTATAAACACTATGCTGGACTAATTTTTGAAGCACTGGTACACTGAATGATGCAGGAGGAAGATGTAACAATACAGGAATTTTTTTTTTTACATTTGGATATAGAATAGATTAAAAGCGATGTTTCATATAGATGCAGAATAAAATAAAATTTGTTGTCATAGCAAAACTTCAATTCTAGTCTTTCACACAATTTATAAGTCCACAGATGAATTTTTTATTAGTTTACCAGCACTTGAGGGGCTATCAACTAGAATACAAGCTTAGATGTAATGTTCTAGAAATGCTGATTCCACAGATGTTGATCCATAATAAACAGCTAACTTGGCGGCTGAGGCAGATTAAATATTTTTTTTTTTTTTTTTTTATTTCAATAGGCGTTTTGCAGTTATAAATAACTTGGCACTTTGATTGTGCCTATTTACCAGAATATTTATATTTTTGACATTGCTGCGATTGGAAGACGTGACTCATCCAATATCACAGCTTAAAAGAAAGGTTTCAGTTCAAGAAATTTTAAGTTTGAAATTATAATTATATCATCATCGTTATGTAAAAGTAATATGATATGGATTATTATAAAAACGACAAGAGTCCAGAAAAGTTATTACTATTTTTAGAATAGAGAGAGGAAATACTAAAAATTAAGGTCCTATCGCAAATTTAAGTTATTATTTTGATTTATGTATTTGTCATTATATACTGTATATTACAGCATATAATGTGCACTTTTAATACCAAAAATATTATCTAAATTTATGAGTGCATGTTATATGCTGGATACAGAAATGACAAATTAAGAATAAGGAAAAAATTGGCATACAAAAATTTGATTTTTATGTGTACTTATGCTGTTTATTTGAAAAAAAAAAAAAAAAAAAAAAAAAAAAAAAAAAAAAATAAAATACATACCTTTTGAACTTAACTTTTAATTAAACATGATAACATGAAAAGTTCATCTTCAATTACATCTTCACATAATCCTCTTCTGTTTCACCTTCACCATTACTGTTTCTCTGATTCATGTCAATTAATAATCATCATATGGCAAATTTGAAGCCATAGGCAATAATGTTTGATGAAAATTCTAACAACAGTATGGTTGCTCGGGATTTTTTCATATATGAAAAACTAGTTCAAGAGTGAAGAAAGCACTCTGCAAATTTCATCAACATGGTAATTTTCATTTTACTGACAATGCACCAAACTTCACAGACCAACATTACAAACAATTTTCAAAACAAAGTAACTCATTTTCATAAAATGAATTTCTGATTTCATTTAAAATGAATTTTTTTCATAAACTTAACAAATTTAAGCTAAAGAAATAAAAAATTGTGATATTTAGTGATTTAATGACTTGTGCCCAATTAACAGAGAAGTATTTACATTTTTTTGTGAGATTAGCAGATCCATATATAAGTTGACCCTATAATTTAGAGAAAAGTTCCAAAAACTTTTGGCTTATACACAGAAATACACAGTAATGATTCTTTTTTGTTTCAAACCAATTTTATGGTGATTTTTTCTCAAGTTACACAAAATCATTTTTTAATAATAAAATTAAATCTAACTTAAACTATTTCATATTAATTTATTCAAATTATAAAAGTATATCTATGAAAACTTACTTCATCTATAGTCATATTGGGTATATTTAAATTAACAAGTGAAAATTCTTGCTCCAAGTTTTGAGGCTGAGCTAGTGTAGTAGTAACTGAGGTTACATTCCCATTTCTATCTTTAAGTTTAGCAGGTGTAGCAGGAGGTGAACTTGGAATACCAGGTTCTGTTTCCCTAGCACTTGTAACGGAAGCTTGGCTAGCAGTATCTTGAGAATCTAACAAAGGATCTATCACATTATCATCATCTGGATATAAGTGACCACAAGCCTAAGGGGAAAAAAAAAAAAAATCACATTGAACATACTGTGTTGCAACCTTTTTACACATTAAGTTACTTCATTCATGGATAGGTTATGCAATGCTTTATTTGATTATGGCAAAGCATACGAAGGCTATCTGCCTTAGGGAAGGGATGCCTTCCTCGATAACTTTTTATGGGAAACTGGCTTGCATCCATGTTACATGTGAAGAAAACCATGAAAACACCCATGCAGCCAGCCTGTTCACCAAATTTTCTGCTTAGCCGATAGTAGGTTCCACTTACATAATATGTCAGAAACATGATTTTGGCAAGAAATCAGAAATTACAATACTGCAGTTTTATTTTAAAATGCATTTCAGTCACTGAAAAGCATAATATACTTTATATCATTTGAAAATGCATGCAAAAGTTAAATAGTATAATCTTCAGTTGAATTTAATTAAAATACTAAATATATTTATTTATAATAATGATAAATATTTCCTTTAAGATTACACCAAATAGTATTTTTCTGGAATTCAAAAACCAAAACAATTTAATGAGATATCTTTTCACTGTTTTATAAGTAAAACAAGTAATTTCATATCTTGGTATCTGGGGAAAGTACAGCCTAGGTTTACCTAATACTAAAAGTGACTCAGACTTACTTATTCACATAAAAAAATTAATAAAATTTAAGAACAACTGTGTTTGAGGATTAGATATAGAAGGAAATTATCATCTCATATAATTAATCAAAAAGAATTAAACACTTTTAGATTTACTAGAGAATAATTTCTTTCATGAGAAAGGCACTCTACACCATGACCAGAACAGAACCGATCATTGTCAGGGCAGATCAGTGTCATTGATGCCACTTTGTAATGTAAAGGCCCGTCATCAGTGAAAGAAACCCGAGTTCATCTAGTTGCTCAAGATTACAGAATTCTAATTTAGATGATTCAACACCAGGAAAAGCAAAGTGTCCAAGAATGTCCAATCATCAGTGGTACATAAGTAGGACATTGGTATCTACAGCCTAAGATTTTCATTGCTTGCTTTTTAATATGCATTTGGGACTTTGGTTTCAAGATGAGATATGTGCGACTATTGCCCTTTCCTAAGTCTATTTTGATCACCAGTGAGTTGCTGGACATTGCTATAGCACTGATGCTATGGAAGATTCTCGATATAGCAGTTCTTGAAAAGTAAAGAATGACCCTCCATTTTATGTTGATAATGAATCTGCAATCAAATCCAGCTATGTTTACACATTATTATTTTTTTTTTTGGAACTGTGACATAACTTTGAGAAGTCCACAATTTCCTGTTTTCACTCGTATTTGATCTGAGCACATTCTGCTTTACTTGAGACAAGGTACCAGTGTACATAGATCATTACTGCTAATGCTTTTATCATTATTATGAAGATAATTTTTGTTTAAAAAATTTATATTTTTCAACAGAAGATTAAAACAAACTAAGAAATTTCAACACCACAAATACAATACATAAACATTTTAGTCATATTTTGTATTAACCCTTTCGCTCTGACTGTCACGTAGATGTATTGTAATGAAACATGCTCACTTCCTGGCTGGCATTTCGGAACATTTTAAAACTAATATTTTTGGCACAAGATGACATTATATTCCCATAGGATTTAAGATACACATAGATTTGAGCTTCTACTTGAAATGAGACAAAGATGACTCACAAACACTTGGATTTTGATTATACAAACATAAGGCAAAAGACATATTTTTGATTCACAGGTTTCCTGATTTTTGTTTTTTAAATGTGCATATGTGGTATTTATTTATTGGTATGTATGTTATGGAAGAATCTTTTCCCCTAGAGCATGGCATATTTCTTTAAATGAGTCAAGTGTCATTTATTATTTATTCAAGAATGTTATAGATTTCTTTCTTTCTCCCCCCTGCAGCAACTGGGTGTTTGGGTTTGCAGTGCAGGTACTAATCGAAAATTATACTTTGTGTATGCAAAATGTTTCTGTTTTGAGCATTACACCGTCAAAATATTGAAATTTTTTAATAAATTATGCGAATCTAAATCAAGTTATCTGTAACTTTATTATTTATATGGGAAAAAATTGTTAAAATATTGATTGTTTTTTCACGTCTCATTATTGGTGGATGAACTCTTTAAAACTTGGAACTACTACTTGTGGGACTATAATGAGGAAAAAGAAATGAATGACTGAAAATTTTTCATTGCCTAAAATGAAAATTGGTTCGATGTTAGTTTTTCAAAAAAAGAACCTAAACTTAACTGCTTTCAAAGATTCGTGATGATTTGTTTGTTCACACTCCTGTAAAAATCCTCTAAAAAGGCAAATGATCAATGCAAGGATTGTAAAAAAGGAATGTAAGGATTGTAAAAAAGGACTGTGTGCAGATCTCTGCTTTAAAATTTATCACACTGAAAATAAATTTAAAGTAAAATGTCAAGCTGTCAAATGTATAATGTCAAAAGTCACTGAAAGGTAAATAAATACTGAAAAATTAAGTATTAAAATATTTAAATTAAAAATATGATTAAATATGCAAAATATGTAAATAAAAAATACGTAAAGCATATACTGCCTATATACTCTACAGATCATTATTAAACAATGCATTCCATAATTTCATGGATTTAGGCTTAGGCCTTGAGAGATGCTCGCAAAAAAATAGCCAGGCCCAGCGGTATGTGCCCATTCAAACCTTTCCTCGCGAAAGGGTTAATAAAATATTAAATGAGAAAAATAATTGAAAACCTTCTGCAAATATGCATCCACTACCCATGTCCTCAAGAAATGATCTTTTGCAAAAGTAACTAATTGATATTCTCTTGAATCTGAAAGAAGGTAAAATGATTATCATTAATACAAATAATGAAAAGATAACAAATAATATTAGATAAAAAATTATGTCTAGAAAGTTAGTAAGACTATAAAGTATGCCTTATAAAGTAAGACCTCTTTATATATTTATGCAAAATTTATATATATTTAAAACATTCTGACAAGAGTGTTTTAAGAGATTTTGATAAATATTATTGCTTTATTTTAATCACTGATAATTAAGATCAGACAAATGGCGAAAAAAATTACTATTTTAAAATCAGGAAGTATTTCATTACATTATACATTATCACTTTTCATTTTTGTTTCTTTTAAAACAAATTAAATATTTCATATGCTTCTTTTTTATACATTTAAGAATACAGTTGCATTAATTAACAAATCGTATTACATAGACTTCATAACACATATTTTATCAAGACTGTAGTTTTTTTCGCTTAAATTCTTAATATTTATTTATTATGTAGATAAACATATGGAAGTCAGAAAAATAAATAAACAAATAAAAACTTATAACCGTAATATTAATAATGGAATTTTACAATGGTGTCAGTTGTCAACTAACCTTCTGTAGGTTTTCTCCAGCCAAATTCTACTACTACATCTGAATGTCCAAAGAAAGTATGAACAGGAGTTGAGAAATTTTTCATATTCCATAACAATAGACTGTTATCACCTCTTCTGAGGGGTGGAACGACTACAGTCACTAAGCCATAACCAAAAGGCTAAAAAGGTGTCAAAGATAAATATTTCATTATACATTATAAACATGTACAGAATTCATATTTATTAGGCATTAATTATTTGCATATTCATATCACAAATTAGACACTTAGATTTGATATCATCTGCTCAATAAATTTCTTTTTATGATACTTTGTATCATAAAACGTAAAGCAAAAACATTTTAAATTGCTTGCAATTAGGATTTTTTGGTAATTTCTGATTATTCAGAACCCCTTCTGAGAAGTCAGCAATACGTTGGTGACTAATTTTTCACCAATTTAATATGCGAAGGGCAACTACCATTTTAAAAACAGCAGCACAATAAAAATTCCATAAAAGACCAAAGAATCAATAAAACTAAAACGGCAAGAAACATCCTTAATAAAACAGTACCTGTTTCAAGAAATCCTCATATAAAAGTTTTTTTGGAGGGAAGCTGTTCTTTTCCCTATTTATACAGCGATCTGTTTTTGCTCAAAAAAACCAACAGAAAATTGCATAAATTTAAGGTGGCCCATGTTGTTTTCATCATGCACACAGTGATCCATTTTCACTTGAATATTAAATCTGAAGGAGGAAATCTGTGGCTATCCACACACCTTGCCCCATAAATACATTTTGCCGACATCATGGGTTGCTTATTTTGGTGACATGGTGCATTACCTCATGAATACTTTTCAGAAGATGCAGATAATCACTAAGTACCAACTTTTTTAATCATCATAGATAAATCATGAACTTACAGTTTGTGACATTCATAAGCATATGAATACTGTTACAAAAGCACTGAGATTGACATCACAAAAGTGATTATACATATACAACAGGTCTAGGTTGGCATATAGCAGTGATTCTCACCACTTTCATCATTGTTAGAAGATCATTCCCCTTTTCAAAATGTGAAAAAAATATATATAAATGCATTTAAATTTAGATAATTTTTTAACTTATTTATAAATTAAACAACAAAAAGCATAGAAAATGTTGATAAATGTGAAAAACTTGAACAAAAGTTGTATTTTACATTCACAAACTATAACTAAATGCAGAACAGATTAATAAATGGTTGAATGCTTGGTGGTTGAGCTTTGCTTCTTTTAAGACTAAAAAATATTCCAGTTGATGATAAAAAAATGTTCTTATTCGTCAATCCTAACTTAATATTTTCTGCCCCTTTTTTTCCTCATTATAATCATGAAAGAAATTACATTTAAAATTATACAGAAAGCTGCAAACCAAACTGAGTAAATGTTTTTCAGTTAATTAGTCAAATTGTTTTAACTCTGTGCCAAACAGCCCAAGTGGTATTCAGTTTCTTTCATCTTACAAGTAGCAATGTAATGAAATCGTTACAAATAAGTAGGAACAATGAAATGAAACCCATAATTTTTCCTTCAGCATTTTCAGTTGCTTTTTTGTTGAAGTATTTAAAAAGTAGTGAGTGGATTGCATACTTTGGCAATTCTTAAATAATGAAAAATAGTGGTTAAATACTTCTAAGACACAGGTATCACCACTGCTGTAAAACCACAAAATATATTTGGATCTTATTATTACTGGAGCACTAAAATGATACCGATATGAAAGATCATGTCATGGAAAGAAACATTTACAAACACAGATATTGCCTCCAAAGTTAACATATTCCTTTTCTGATAGTCATCTAGTTAACTTATTTCTGGTATCAAGTGCTCCCATGAACAGAATTCTGTCAACTGGAAAAATTACACACATTCTTATTTGTAAATTACTGCATTTTTCTTTGTTCCTATTATTTATTTTGGATTCAATAAAATGGCCATTCTTTCTATGAAGCTGTGCATATCACTTGTCATTGCCATTAGTAAGATTTCATTCCAATATTCATATTTGGTGTTATTGATATATTATGGTGATGCCCTTGTAACCAAAATATATACCAATTATTCCTTATAGTAGCAAATGTTAATTTTTTAAATTTTGTGTATTAAAATAGAGATAATTCAGAATAAATGATATAGGAAGAAAACATACCCATGACTGTAATGAATTTATTTCACATATATAGATATAGTATGAAATGCTAATTTTCTAAACTTTATTTGGCAAAACTGAAAAGCTCACAATTTCTAAAATGCTCACTAGAAGTATTATTCAAAATGGTATCATTAGCAAAAGAAAAAGTTTATTATGAGTTGGAACATGGGAAAAAAAAAACAAAAAAACAAAAAAAAAAAAAAAAAAAAAAAACTGTGGAATATGAATGTGATTATTCAAAGACAAATGTTTTCTGCACCATAAAACACTGTGTTTGGGATATTTTTTTTTTCCTTCATATTAAATCACCATTACAGGGTTTACCTATCTCAGCATGCTGTTTGAATGGTTGAAAGAAGAGGTATTCAAATTCATTTTATAGCAAGACCACATTCCACTGTCATATACACATGCATACAATTACATACACACATGTGTGCAATTACATCAACCAACATCTTCCAGAATCTTGGATTGGCCAAATTAACTTGAATGACTGATGTTCTGATCTTACAAGTCCCCTGATTTTTCTTTTCAAGATAAAGGATAATGTTTATACATCTGCCTTCATATGACTTCAGTTAAAACAGCAGATAGCTGATGTAGTCAATTCAATTAACCAGGAAATGCTGGTATAGTGAAGCAAGAACTATTGAGTTGACATAATTTGGTTGAAGAAATGACAGAAGTAATTCCTCTCCTAGAATATTTCATATGTACTCAGTAGAAATCAGATTGAAAAAAATCAAGCTGGCCTCTCATGCAAAACTGCTTCCTATTGTAGGTATTCCACCACCACAAGTTCTATGTGGATCAGCATTGTCATCTAGAAGGACAAAATTTTCACCTATATCACATACATAAGCATCAGGATATCTCTGTACACTTGAAAAGTCACAGTTCCATATAAAAAGATATGGAGATCTATACATTATCTACAGAGATTCCAACTTAGATACAGATGTTGATTCCTCCCAAATGAAGTTCTTTTAAGGATACGTGGTTGATATTAGTGACTGCCACATCAAACATTTGTGAATGCCAAAAGCAACCTGGTGAATTAACCTTTCATGTTATATCTGCAGTTGTGAAATACATTTGTTGCTGTAGTCACACATATGTTTTTGTGCCATTCACTCTGAATTATCCTGTAATGCAGTAAATAGATCAGATTAGACTACTTATATAGAACAAAGCATACGAGGACTGTCTGTCTAGCTCCATCTTAATTGTGTTCAATGAGGAATAAAGTCTGAAGGTCTTGCATTTTTTGAGAGAAATTTTAGATCAATAGATTTTAACTGTTGCCATTCTATAAAAACGCTACAGTCAGAAACAGCCATGTTTCATCTGAGATACAAATTTAAGCCCACTAGCATGTAGTCAGCTTTTACAAACCCCAGTACTAATAGTACAAGGTCTCCGTTGGTTAAGTGGATGGTTCGGTAACAAGAAGGCCTTTTGCCTAGTTTATAAACAAGTATATTTTGTTAGATTTTTTTTAGACATATTCGAAAATTTATGAATGTACCCAATGAATACAGTGTCATGGTTTTTGAACATTTTATAAGGAACTGGTGTTGGCGATAACAGAAAAACTCGTACTTCACGTTTAATTAATTTAAAAAAACCCACAGTTGAACTAATTACTCTGTCTTTATAAGGATCTTCACATTTACTAACGTTTATTTTATTTTAAACTTTACTGTCTCTCTTATTTTCCACTTCCGGCCAGAATAAATGCGTTTAGTCTGTTTATGCAAACTATGCTCACAAACTAAGTATTTAAGTTGTGGCTTTTCGTCAAGAAGAGTTAGAAAGAGAGAGAGGGCCCTCTCGCCACTTTATTTCACGCTTTATTCACGCTTTATTTCTATAGTTAGTTGCTGTCCGCCTTTTAAGGCCAGAGGTTTAGTCCTCTTGATACTGAAGATGTATTGTAGTTTTCCCGTAGTTTGCGTACTACATACGTAAACATCTAAAAGACCAAATCTCAGTGTTACTATTGAGTAAAGTATTCAAGTTTAGCTCTTATTTAAATTTAATTAGTTGTAGTTCTTATTTTCTTATATTCAGACCACAAGTGGTAATCTTTGCATCCTGAAGTGGGGGAGTTCATGTTGCCAAAACATATAAAAAGTAATAGTAGTCCTGATAGTCTAACACATGTTGGCACAAGATTCGTGTAAAACAGTAATTCGTAAACACTCAACAACTAATACGTTTCCAGAATCTAAAGGGCTTCATGGAAACCAGAAACATGATTGTAATATTTTACATAAATGGTCGCAGTATTATTGAGGCCATTAAAGTTTTTCCCAGCGAGAAATGTTAAAAAACGACTGTTCTTTCTCTGTCATTCGAACCAAGAATATTTGTTTTTCTAGCTGTTTGTGGTAACCACTGACACTGCAAAAGTACGCAAGGGGATTTATGACAATTTCTTACAAAATTTTGTATGAGATAATGTAAATAATTTTTTAACCTTCTGCAAATCAGGTCTTACTCGTTCCAACATCATATTAGGATCCTGAACCAATACGTCGAAGTTGTACAGATATAGAAGTTTCTGTAAAGCACCAGTACACTTCCACATATCCCTCATGACATACTCAATGACAAGCTGAAAATCTCTCTCCGATTCTTTGATACCTTGCAAGTAGGAAGAACTCCTATAATAGTACCATATGTTACGAAAGATTCCAGCAGTAATGCCAAAGAGGACTTATTGTGTATCATTAGTTAAACAATATTTAAGGCGGCTGCTTTAGCTCTTTGTAAATTACATTGAGACAGAATGTTTCTGGCCATGTCTAGTATGATGCTTTGGGGCGGGTGACCTACAATTCTTTTGACTTTTCTGATGGTCTCCAATTCCATTCCATAGGTGAGTGACACTGACTGTTGTACCAATGGACCCGGGTTTGAATCCTGGAGAAAGTACGGATATATGTAATCTTATAGTGTCTGTGGGGCAAGAGGGCACTCAAAATACACGGCGAGCTGAATGTCCTCTAAGGACGTTGGTGGTAGGCCCTCGAAACAGGGATGTTTTCTGTCACAAGTGGGGCGGAACTGAATTGTTAGTGCGGCGGGACTATAACTGTGCGACCAATGGTGAAATTCTGCCCATTTCCGTCCATTTCTATCCGTATCTGTCTCAAATGTTGATTCTAAAACATCAAATATTTCAAAACCTTCTGAACTTACTTGATTTTCATTTCTGCCTGAATATGGAACATTAAGAAAAAGATTCAGGAAATTATTTACGAAATAAATGTATTCCTAATGTACAATACCATACTTTAATCATTTGCATCGCAATAAAACAGAGCCAAACAAGGTGGATGATGTATTCAGGGATAATGTCATGCATTTCTTCAGAGCCATACTTAATAGAGAGAAGCATGTTACGTTGGACAACTTCTCTAAAACATGAATCTAATAAAAAGATACAGATACAGATGTGCAAGGATGTCAAGGTCAGCTGTCCTCCACATGCAGCAGAACACTAGAAAGACCGCGAGAAACTGCACAGACATAGTGCAAGTAAAATTTTTTTATAACTTAGAAATTAGTTAATTTCTGGAATTTCTAGCAGTGGCTGTTTTTTAAATAGTATTCTCTGGAATTGTTATGAGGTTTCATCTTCTTTTGTTCAGGCTTGGAAACAGTTAAAACAGACACAGTTGAGATAAAGCGGAAAATATAGTTTTTCTCATAAAATGTTCAGAAAGCAGAGCCCAGGCACTACGTTTCACAACGGTTCTAGAGCAAAAAGTCGGCAGTGCCTCCGTAGTGTGGAGAAAAAATCATTCAAAACTTTAAAGAAAGAGAGAGGCTCGTTTGGTATTTAAAAGAATAATATTGCTGTAAACATTAAAGAATTTAACCTTTATCAAAGAAATTGATTTTTACTCAACCAGAGTGCAATCAGGTAACAAAAAGTTAAGGGGTATCAGAAACCCCCATACCGAAAATGTTAAATTGGCCATTTTCGATGTACCTTTTCTCAAAATCTGCTGTAGATACAAGCTTGAAATTTTTTCTGTAATTAAAGTATACCTATCTGATTATACTGAAATGAGCTTTGAAGCATTTTGAATTTTAGAGTAAATTACAGAATATTTGTTAGGCATAGTAAAATTTAGCACTTTTCTCACACAAAAAAAAAAAATTAAAATTTTTTTTTCTAAGTTTATTATAAAACTCTCATTTCAGTAAATATTAGGGAACCTAATAAATAAGCCATAAAAAGTTTAGATACCTGTGAGCAGTAGTTCCTGAGAAAAGGTACATCGAGTATAAAAAAAATCACATTTGGAGAAAAACGCGTTTTTATGTAAAAATCCTCATTGATCAAAGCAGTAGATGACAAATTAAAACTAGATTTTTTTACAGTTCTAACTTTCATAGAGATTAAAGAATGGTATTTTTAGAAAGATAAAAGTGTAGAGAATTTGAAAATGCAAAAATCCGAAATCACAATTTTTTGAAGATTTTGGGGTTCCAACACCCCTTAAAATGTTTTTAACTGATGCTTCCTTGTCCTGATCGCAAGCCCATGTCATTTTCTTATTATGCTTTGGTACATAAGAGAAAATGAAATTCAAAGTATTAGGAAACAACCGAAAATTCATTATATGCTCTTTTAAATGAATGATTTTCCCTTCAAATAGGACGTACTACTCGCCAGTGAGTTTGCAAAACGTTTTCGATGTATTTTCCTGCCCAATAAAAAAATCTCTTGATGAACCGCCTTCGTCCACCAACTAAAGGTTGGCAGATGATTTTGCATACAAAGATAAGCGTATATAGATACTGCGAAAAATATTATTTCACTGCACATATTGCTTAATCCCTAGAACGTTTTGTGATCATTATTAAATATTCGACAGCTCTGCAAATGTTGGAAGGTACTAGATAAAAAATACAACTGAATCAATGCACTGATTTTCCTTTCTATAATCATTTTCAGCTCATAAACATTGATCATAGAAATAGATATGCTTTAAACAGACCCTAAATTTCTAGGCACGTTCTTGTCTTAATTAAGATTTGAACGCAGCCAACTACTGAGACGGGAAAATGATAAACGTGCCTTGTCAAGTGGGAAAATTTAAGTGAAGCAATAATAACGAGATTAAAATATTTAATGTAGTCCTTGGAATAATTATGAGGAAATGGCACGCTCTTTAAAATAGTTTAGTCTGTTTCTCAAGATAATCCAATCTACTTGCAAATTTAAAATATATACATTATTATATATAATATATATATATAATAAACTAATAATATATATAATAAACTAATATATATTATTAGTTTATTTTTTCATATATACAAATGACCAACCATTCACGAATCTTCAATAATACATGCTCTTTAAAAACCTAGTTCTCATCTAGCACAAAGAAATAATTAACAAAACATTCTCTTTGTATCTTCTTTCAAATTTTATTCATTGGCAAGAGCTTTAATTATAAATAAATTTTGACTAAAACAATTAACTCAGCTATCTCTTTTCCTAAATTCTTTCCTAATTCCATCATTTAACAGCGTTCCTATTTTAAATTGTTTTCCTCTTTTCCCTTATGTACGTTTGCTCTGCAAGCCACCTACACTATAAAAGAGTTTCGTAAATCACTCGAAAATTAAAAACCAAATAGTAAGTAAATGTTAAACAATAAACATTGCTTTATTCTCAACCGCCTCCGCATGTCAATACGGTGTCAACACTTTTGTTTCCGTCTCTAGCATTTGTCTCCTCTGATCCTTGAACATCAATTTTGCGCTCTTCAGCCACCAGCGTACACCGAAATAACTGTAAATACAACATTATCTATTGATGAAAAGAACATTTATATTCACAAAGAAGGAGGTACGCAATGAAAATATATTTTCTTTTATGTACGAGCCACCGTTAGACTTTTTATTTCGAGGATTTGTCATACAAATAGCGGCCCGCTTCCCATTATCAGCTGCCATTTTAAATCAGTGTATCACCTGTCTTTAAGCTGCCGAAAGTGAAGTAAAAAAATAAAAAGGAAAAAAGGAATAGCCAAGAGGTTGACAGAAAGAAAGCTGAGGATTCATATTTGTAGGTTAAAATCCCGGGCAAAAAGACACTTGTTTATTTTTCAGGTGGCTTATAAATGCAATCTACCCGGAAGGATTAAATTAAGTGATTATATAAAGAATCCCCTTCAATGACGTAACGTCAACATTTTCAATAATTCCTACGCAGACGAAATGTAAAATGCGAACAGGATTTTAAAACGAATCTTCAGAAGTTTTAAAATAAAAAATTTAACTTACCAGCACTTTAAAATTTTAGCATTTAATTACAGTATGTTTAGCTATAATTATTGAGTGCTTCTTCACGTGCACTATATCAGACTATATCAGAAATGGATAAAAATTGCATCATTTTAATAAAATCTTATAATTTGTATCAGTATTAGTAAAGACAAGATTAAGCATATTTTGTTAAAGAAAGCTGTCCTTTTATCTGAAAAAAATTGCCTGAGAAAAAAAATTGCAAATCTCTATTTCGTAAAAAAAAAAAAAAAAAAAAAAAAAAAAAAAAACGAATTGTAATATATGAATAGAATCACAGCCAGATAAATAAAAATTTAAATAAATAAAACAAATTGTTGAAATTTAATTTAAAATTTTAGCCCAATTAAAACTTGGTTTCTAACTTATAGCGGGTTTCAAATTATAGGGAATCTTAATGATAATTAAATGTTAAGTAATTGTATAGTGATTTAAATATTTAAACGAATTCAAAATTGCTAGAAATATAATTCAGTGATAGAGAGGAATGTTATGCTTTTCTGCTACATAATCATTCGTGTTATCGATCCATTTCTCACATCGCTGTACCAACTTTTTAATTACTCTTGCAGTTGGGAATATGTCACTTCTTTGAAGAGAGAGAAATCTATGCTGTAAGGTTGTGGAGTCATTAGAATTTTTGAAGCAGGAAACATGAAAAATGAGCAATCCCTCGCCGGGACTCGAACCTGGACCTCTCGTATACGCTCCCAATGTGCTACCGTTACACCACAGGGGCATGCAGAAAGGCGGAAGAAAATATCTTATAAGTTGTATGATGTAATTTCTTAAATCACAGTTTTTGAATATTGGCTACAGTTACAAAAACCATGTAAAAGCAAGAGGAGTTTGAGGTATTACAACACCCTGCTTACTGATCCAAATTTTAGTAATAATTTGTTTTGATGTCTTAAGAATGCTCCGAAAGCATAAGAGAGAGAGAAAGAGCTGAAGACAGATGATTTGTGAAGAATATCATCTCTCTCCACTAATACTGAAGCCAGGAACACAATTATTTGGTGATATAATCGCACAAAGAAACGAAGTATCTTACTGTTTCTGCTGCAGGTGCATTCAAACATACTTTTCAGTGATGAAATTAAAAAGATACCACGAATGTGCAAAAAGTGTATTAAAAAAAGTGATGTACCATTTGTATTTGTTGCTTAGTCTCAGCGTCTTCGTAGAAGTTTATAATGATGCCTTTTGATTTTTTTACAATCGTAGAAATTTATTAAACTTAGTTTGTGAAGTTTACATTTATTAGCAGACTGAAGATCTTTGCATATTTATCCCGAAACATACTAGTACACTCCTGCACACAATCTAGATAAACTATTACAGCAAACTTATCAACTAAATTATTTTATAAAATTTATCAAATTATACCACTATATTTACAGCTAGCTACCTCTGCTGTAATATAAGCATGTGAGTCCTCTACTGTGACTGACACTGTTCACACATTAGGGTTTCGACTTTAAGTCGTTTAGGATTGCTGGAGAAATTGAATGCCAAACTTATTAGTAGTGCATAGATCCTTTATTGTATTGCTATGGATCCTCGCGGGACTCACCATATCGCAGTGTCCCGGCGCACCATACACTTATTCCTATACGTCCTGTCCTGCAAAGCTTATTGCAACGTAATTTCGGTCCCGAATTCGTGGTTCTGATGTTACTCTCAGCAGCAGCCCAACGATATTTAGTGCAACTTAAATTGAGTGATTTTGAGAGCTACAGTGCAGTTTCGAATTTGGATAATTATGAAACTTACACCATTGAAACAGATATTCTTTAGTTACGAACCTTTTCTTTGGAATGCGAGAAGTTATGAAAATATTGCAATGTTCTTAACTACTCTGTCTATACTGAACGTAGTGGAACTTGCTGAACTTTGTAGCAACTTATCGTTGAGTCCAAGTATATAAACGACAAAGTCCAGAGAAGCGTTGAAATACCCTTTTATTCACTCAAAGAAATAATGGCAGTCGGTCCCTTCTCGGACTTACAATAAAGACTTCACTTTAACTCAAGGCTTTAAACTCAAGGTAAGAAAATAAGAAAACTAATCTAATGCTAAACTGACTTAGCCGTAACTATACACAATTACCTAACGTAGTTGGCTCTTAACCAAATTAGCCGACGAATATCAGTAGGCACGTACAATACGGCCAAGCGTAGTTAACATCGAAGTAGGCCAAGCGTAGTTAACATCGAACAGTAAACACGCGCCACTAAGAACTCCTGCTAGAAGTAAACGAAACTTCCTTTATATACTCTCCGTCATTTTTAAATAATAATATAGCTATGAGGAGAACACGAACTTCTATGCGTTAAAGCAGACATATTGCATACACTTTTGACATATTTAAAGTAAATACGTAATAAATAAACGTATATTAAGCGTTTTTTAATACATAAATACAAATGTGGGTTTTAGGTTTGGTCAGAATGCCACAGAAGTTTCCTATCCGTCAAGTACTACAAGCCATAAGTAATTAACCCAGAACATTCAAACTCGTATATGATACCTAGTACGCTCATCTCTTACGAGAGTGTAGGTTGATATTTTTTGCAAATTTCAATGTTATTAAACGTGGCTGATGCAGAGGTCTTTCATGTATATTTATTGCTCAGCTTTACGTCATTTGTGCTTAAAAACCAAAACTACTTTTATTCCAAATCAGGAGTTAAAAAATACCATCTGCCCCTGGTACAGGGGCAAATGGACATTTAATCACTGCTGTATGTGTCACGCTATTACCCCCTTCAAAAAGAGAAAAATAAAAAGCTTCTCTCGTTGCAATCCTATTCCGCGTGATTACTATTAGGATAAATTAGACACTGAACCTAATTTTCCCTTTCTTCATTTTGCCGTGGGGTTTCACAATGTTAGACAGTATGTTTAGGGAGTGTCCATTACGTTCCATTTCTTTTGCACACTGATATTCATTTCACTCGTTTGCTTGGTAATCATGAGTTTGAATGAGGTAATGCAGAATTAACTCATTAAATTAATGCTTGATTTTTAATGAAAAGTTTTCTTCCATTATTTGATTAAAGATTTTTGAAAATATTAAATTAACTTTACAGAAGTGGTTCCCGCCTCTCCTCTTGTTTCCGGTTTGAGAGTTTTTTTAGCAGTTTGGTTTGTAAATTTCTCATTAAGAACATCATTCAATCATTCATCGCTTCTGGTATCTGTAGGATGTTAAAATATTTGTTTCCAAATTCAGATTATGAACAAAGGACAACGTAAGATGGGAAATGCGTTAACTTCGTTAGCAGTTTTCTGTAAAACCTAACCGTTTATTGATAAGTGTGTAAACTTAACCGCCTCTGTAAATTTATCTCAACATGTTTCTGGTATATACAAATTGTACTCAAATGTATCCATCAAATTCTACCTCGACTTACTGATAAGACGAGAGACTCTTGAGAAGTGACGGATAGTAATTCATACTCAAAGATTTAGAAAAGAACCTTCTCCTTCTACTCTAATAACAGTGCAAAACAAAACTTATAGTCACATTTCCGATATTTACAAATTAAATATACTGAATGCTAATGAAAGGTGCTTTTTATGGCACATTATTCGAGCGAGTGAGTTTACCAACTATGTCTTATAACAAAAGAAGTGCTTACCTATTCTTACGCAAAAAGAAGTTCATATTAATATGAAAAATCGTATCAAAGGCTTAGATTCTTCCACTCAGGAGATTCACACAAGTCGTAACATCGTAAATTCCCTCTGCTTCAAAAGAACAGTGTTATAGCTTCAATTACATAGGCAGCTTTTTGCTTTACATCCAATTTCTCTCGCGCTGCCAATATATAAATTTCGCACTGCCGAAAGTTTTGCATGGCAGGCTTTTCTAAATTATTCTTTTCCTCGAAGAATCGAATATCCAAAAGTGAAAGCATGTAAACTAGTAACAAAAATAAATAAAGAAATTACAAGCAATGGCTAAAACAGATTTCTTTTGTCAATGGAACATTAGTTCAAGAAATTGTTGTTACTAATCCTCTTGCTCCAATTCATGGATCTGGTCATAATCTAGATCAGGTCACGAATTCATCCCAGCCAGAAAAGAAGAGAGCCCTTGTCCAAGACGTTGAACACCTTATAAATAACATTTAGGCTCGATAACCCCCTGGGACATGGAATGCAAAGATTTCTAACCCTTCTTCCCCTGCCACCAGTCTTTCGAGGAGATTTCGACTGGCAGGAATTTGAAATACCCCTATGCTGCAAAGATACTATGCGTTTTACAATCACCCATGCTTTCTCCGAAATTCGAAACTAGGTCCAACGATATCGCAGCCAGACCTGCTAACCAACATACAGAACAAGGCTGAAAATTTAAGAAATAGGATAAGAAAGGGTTTTAAAATAAACGCAGATAACTGAAACCATGTCATTTCAAGACAGGATTTTCCGCTCTGCCTTTTATTACAAAAGTATGAAAGACCTCTCTAGTGTCTTTACAATATTTTATCTGCTATTTTTATTAGAATTTTTATCATTAGAAATGAACGGTGGCTAGTATATTTGATACGTATTGAATGGTATAAAAATAATTTAAACTTCCGATTTTTCAAAACGCATCCAGTTGGTCTTTAATTATTTTCATTAGTATGTGAATA